TGAAAACAATTCGCTAAGTCCTAGCTTGTTTTTTGCATTGCTATGTAGTAATAACTGGTTTTTAACCAGACATTACTAGCTACCAGTTGTCCACTGCTAAGCACTCATCACTAATCACTAATTATTAAGGAAGTAAAGTGCTAGTTGCTAAATACGACGTAGTGACTACCAAGTACTTGAGAAGAAGACTTCATGCGATACGAAATACCAAGAAAGATTGCATCTCAATGGCTAGAATCGCGAGTTGTTACTTGGTAGCCATAAGTTGCTAATCACTGCGTACTCATTGGGAAGTAGCAAAACGAGAAGTATAGTCATTGTTAATTCCTAACTCGTCGAAATGGTTTGCCACGTTCAGCAAGTACCAATAATGAATCAGGAATCACGACGTTCGAAGCCAGATCACATCTCAACATCTTGCTGAGGGCCTAAGGTTTAGGGTTTAGGGTTTGGGATTTGGGGTTTGGGGTTTGGGGTTTGGTTTGGGCCCCAAGGCTGCTGCATAGGAACCCCTTTAATGTTGACTTCGCATTAATAAACCCCCCCCCCTCCCCCCCCCCCCCCGATCCCCCCCCCCCCCCCCCCCCTTCATTGATCAATCTCTCCGGCCAGGGCCTCCTCAATACTGTTCGCCTAAATCCTGGTAGGACGTAGTTTTAGCTTTAGTATTAGGTAGTAGCACCACGCCCGTAAAAACCGGATTTCCCGGGTCGGATTTTACAATTGTGGCGGGCTACACTACTGTGTTCCGGCAGCGGGATTTTACAATTGCGGGTGGATCCACTAATGTGAAGTCAACATTAAGGCCCAAGTACCTACTGCAAAGGTGCACGGACCTTTGGGTCAGGTGTGGCGATGGAGGTTGATGGGTCTGCCTCATCCCTACGTCTGTAAGCACCAGGGGTGTTTAGGGTCGAAGATAGTTAGGGTTTGGGGTTTGGGGTTTGGGGTTTAGGGTTTAGGGTTTAGGGTTTAGGGTTTAGAGTTTAGGGTTTAGGGTTTGGGGTTTAGGGCTGAGCGCCGCCAGGAAAAGCCGGAGTCACCATCGAGCCCCAGCAACTACAACGATGGCAGCACTGGCGGGAAAGGCTTTGGGAGGTGCCTCGGTCCGCGATTTGAGGGTTTCCGAAATTAGGGTTTAGGGTTTCGGGTTTAGGGTTTAGGGTTTAGGGGTCCTTACTCTAAGGCCACGCGAGCTTCGCGGGCATGACTCTGCAAAGATAGACCAAGACCGAAACCCTTAAACCCTAAACCCTAAGCCCTACACCCTAAACCCTAAACCCTAAACCCTGAACAATAAACCAAACCCTAAGCCCTAGACCCTAAGCCTTGCAAAGGTAGATCTACTGCACCCTGAAGCCCTTACTAAACCCTAAACCTTGAGCGTCGGCCTCAGCCCGCCGAAGCCTACACCCTGAACCCTAAACCCAAAAACCCTAAGCCCTACACCCTGAACCCTAAACCCTACACCCTGAACCCAAAGCCCAAAACCCAGAAACCCTAAACCCTGGCAGAGCCCCCCCCCCCCCCCGCCCAGTGGTTCCAACCTCGTGGCCTGCTGAAACACGAGAGAACCCCCCCAACTCTTCGATTCTGGACAAGATGACCTCTTGAACTTTTAGTCATCGTAGGGTTTAGGGCTTAGGGTTTAGGGTTTAGGGTTACCCTATTTTCGGGGAGGTGAGGGCAGGGTCAAGCGTTTTTTGGACTTGTTGTAGCCAAACTATCGGAACTGGTTTGGGATGGTTTAGGGTGAAGGGTTTAGCGGCTTCGGTTTAGCGAGGGAAAGACGGCAATTTCCTTCTTCTCAAGCTCTTATACTTCTAAAGAATTTGGACAAGGCTGAAGCCCGTTGAGGTTTGACGATGTAGCAAAGGGCTCAGGCTTCTTGGGGCTTTCGGGTTTTATGGCTTGAGAGTGTGGGGCTCAGGTGCGCCAATTCTCAAAGTTGAGCAAAGCCCAGCTGCCTTGCTACCGTCGGTTAACTGAGCAAACCCCTAAACCCTAAACCCTGAACCCTAAACCCTAAATTCCTAATCAACAAAAATTTGCACGGGTCGTCGACTACTGCACCCAGCGTGCTTGTGACACATCCTGGACCCAACCTCAAAGAAACCCGAAGGGTCCATGTACCTCGTTATTAACCCCCTAATATTAAAACCCCCCCCCCCCCCCCCCCCCCCCTTATAGTTCTGTTACAGTACTAGGGGGTGTTTTTCAATATTAGGGGTAGGGCGGGGGGGTTTAAGATTACGGGGAAGGGATTATATACTTGGGCCCCAAAGTCCTACAAAGGAGGTACTTTAAGGCCCAAGTACTCCCCATTTAGGTACATGGACCCTTAGCGAAAGAAGCTGAAGCCCACCCCAGGTGTTGACAGCACCAGGCCTTCAGCCACATGACAGACCGCGAGATATGAGAAGTCTCAAAGGATTTTTGGTATAGTTTGCAGCCAGTGCGTGGTGCTCGGCACCACTGGCGCGCCGCTCCGAGGGAGTAGGCCGCGTCATAGTGCCACCCTGCGTGCCTGGTAGGAGGAGACTCCAAACGAGGATGCCCAAAGCCCTCCCGACCTCGCCTTTCCTTTTCCCGAGAATCTGACACCTCAAGACGCTTCCCTCATGTAAGCCCTGGACGCTGGGGACCTCCCCCAGACATATGCCCTAAGCCGTGAGCCCTGAACCCTAAGCCCTAAGCCCTAAACCCTTAACCCAAACCCTAAACCCTAAACCCTAAACCCTAAACCCTAAACCCTTAACCCTTAACCCTAAACCCTAAACCCTAAACCCTAAACCCTTAACCCTTAACCCTAAACCCTAAACCCTAAACCCTAAACCCTAAACCCTAAACCCTAAACCCTAAACCCTACCAACCGGGTTTAGGGGTTGACGGTTCAGGCCTTGTTTGTTGATCGGCAGGGGCCCTGTTCATTTAGGAGACTACAGAGCCTCAACCCAAGACCTTGTGCAACCCTCGAAAACCCTAAACCCTAAACCCTAAACCCTAGACCCTAAACCCTAAAACCCCTAAGAATCCGCTTTAGGAGAATCCGCTTTAGGAGCTAGGGTTAGGGTGTACAGAAATCCACAAGCAACTCATGTAGAACGTGTAGATACGGCCGAGAACTCAGGCCCGCTATGAACTCGGTTAGAGTTTAGGGTTTAGGGTTTAGGGTTTCGGGTTTAGGGTTTAGGGTTTAGGGTTTCGGGTTTCGGGTTTAGGGTTTAGGGTTTAGGGTTTAGGGTTTAGGGTTTAGGGTTTTGGGTGCTGTGATCTCCGGCGTGGATCGGGGGCGGCCAGGAATCCAAACTCCTATAGCTCGAGTGTGTCTCGATGATCCGATCTTGCGGAGATTCTGGTCCAAGGGCTTTGAAAGCGCGATCCGTCCACGCGAATATAGGAGTCGGAAAACTACTAGTACCCAAAGGGTCTTAAGTACCTACATGGTAGAAAGTAGGGTTTCTATAATGGGAATTACTATCATGGTTTGGGTAAGTGTCCCCCATACAGGTACTTAGGACTCTTTGGGATAGAACTTATAGCCCCTACAAACTATATTCAAATAACCCCAAACCCTTATTCTAATTGTGAAGGCCTCTATAGTATGCACCACTGAGTGCTGCGCTTTCACTCTGCCAACTGCAGATCTCTGCCGTTATCATCTACTATTTGCTTAAGAACCCCCCCCCCCAAAAAAAAAAATATATATAGAAAAAAACAATAATCCCTATATTGCCCTTAAGGGGAAGAAAATCCCCTAAACCCAAACCCTAAACCCTAAACCTTAAACCCTAAACCCTAAACTGGGGTTCTTAAGCAATTGGTAGTTATAGGACCTTAGACTGCGGCAGCCTTTGCCCCGCGCAGAGAGTCCGCAGAGCAAATTTCAAGAAGGCAGCCAATCAAAAGGTCCGAGGCTCCTGGGCCCCATTGGGGTTTAGGGTTTAGGGTTTAGGGGTTTGGGGTTTAGGGTTTAGGGTTTCGGGTTTAGGGTTTAGGGTTTAGGGTTTAGGGTTTAGGTAGCAATACAAACTTTGACAATGCTCCTCAACGCTTACTGCCTAAACCCCTGTTGATCCCTCAACCCTAAACCCTAAACCCTTGCTGATCCTTCAACCCTTCAGGGTTTCGGGTTTAGGGTTTAGGGTTTATAGGGTTTAGGGTTTAGGGTTTATAGGGTTTAGGTTTTAGGGTTTCTTTTTTTCGAATGAACCTTTGGTCCCCAGCAACCTCGCGCCAGCCTCCAGCAAACCTGTGCACCGAGAAGGGGACCCCTATAGTTGCCAAACCCAAAACCCTAAATCCTAAACCCTTAGTTAGACTCTACAGCCCACCAAGAGCCCATAAAGCCAGAACCCCAGAAGTCAGCTCAACCAGCGCATGCTGCGCAGCCAGGCTCTCGCACTGCAGCGGAGTTTCGCAACCGTTTCCGTTGCCAGGCCCCTGCGTTCACGTTTAGGGTTTAGGGTTTAGGGTTTAGGGTTTAGGGTTTCGGGTTTAGGGTTTCGGGTTTCGGGTTTAGGGTTTAGGGTTTAGGGTTTAGTAAATTTAGGGTTTAGGGTTCAGGGTCCAAGCACGAGTACGGAAGCCCCTGCTCAGAAGTTTTCGAGTCCTCTGCACCCTATGTGGAGGGTGGCGGTCTTCTATATCCCAAGGGGTCCATGTACCTACACAGTAGATACTTGGGCCTGAGAGGGGTTCCTCTGTAGTAGCTTTGGGGCCCAAGTATAATATACCAAATAGGTACATGGACCCTTAGGGCATTGAAAGGGACATGTGAGGACTCTGAACCTTAAACTCCACCACGCAGACAAAATGGCGCCTGATAGTAGGTACTTGGAGCTTTTGGTTCTGAATTCCAGGTTGTGTCCTGCCCTTGCTGCGTCAGAGCCTTCATCACGAACCCTGAACCCTAAAAGCCGAAACCACTAAAGCATCGCAGACCTCCTAAACCCCTACACTTTTGCTGTCTGGGAGGCGTCTGGAGGCGCTTCCGTTCCATGCCCTCGGGCCCAATCATCGAGGAGACATGGTTTAGGTTCCAGGCGGTAGCTTCGGGTTGCTACTATTTGCTGAAGAACCCTCCACCCCCCCCCCCCAAAAAAAAAAGAAAAACAATGAATCAATAAAATGTTAATGAAATAGTAAGAAAATGAATCTTCCTTATAAGGGCAATACAGGGAATAGTAAATTGTATTCTTTACTTTTTTGGTGGTTCTTAAGGAAATAGGTTTAGGGTTTACAGATGCTTGGCTGTTTAGAGGTTTGGTGTGTTTTTTCTCTTTTTTCGGGTCGCGGGTGTGGGTGCAGTTCGTCCGAACAGAAAAATGCTATGCTGCAGTCCTTAGAGATGTGCAAACGGTTTAGGGTGTAGGGCCAGTGTAGGGGTTGGGCCTTGCTGACAACCCACAGGGCAGCATGTACAGAAGCTAGTCCGAACCGTCTCGCTGAAAGAAGATCGCCAATGCTTGCAGCCGACAGGACAGTAGGACAGAGTAGGATCACGACCATGACTGCTGCAGCATACAATGGTGTGCCCAGACTTCCCGGCCGGAGTAGCAGCTTTCAACAGACGGCACACTGACCACCCACTTTCAGGAGCTGGAGTCCTCAAACAACGCTCTCCAGCCCCGCATGCAAGATAGCCTCTCCGAAAACCTAAGATATTCGTAGGAAGCAACCCAGGCCTCACGTCCTCCCTTGTCTATACGAGCCCGATAGGAATCAGCGTAGGCCCTTATTCGGAATGAGGTTATTCCCCCTTTTTTCAGGGTTTCCCTAAACCCTAAACCCGAAGCCCTAAACCCTAAACCCTTCTTATTCCTAGGTTACTCTTGGGTGTAGACATTACATGTCACAAACGCAAGGCTTGAGGCTCGAGGGGACCGAAAGTCCTTTGAAGAGCAGGTCTTGGGTGTTCTTTCCCCCAATTTCAGGTAGGGTTTAGAGTTTAGGGTTTAGGGTTTAGGGTTTAGGGTGCCTAAACCCTAAACCCCAAGCCTCCTAAACCCTAAACCGTTGCTTAGCTTGTGCATGTTTTAATGATGGCTTGGGGTAGAGCTTAGGGTGCAGAACAATAAAGGCTAAACCCTAAACCCTAAACGCTAAACCCTAAACCCTAAACCTTTAGGGACAGAAGGTTCCAAACCTTGCCCGACGCTCAGGAGCTTCCGGATGATTACGACATCGCGGCCCACAAGAAGGCTCGTAATATAGGGGCCTGAATAATTAGAATCGGGCTTTGGGGGTGTAAGGTTTAGGGTTTAAGGTTTAGGGCTTAGGGCTTAGGGCTTATGGGGCCAGAATAATTAGAATAGGCTTTTGGGGGGTATTGTGGTGTAATTACAAAGGGAGCATAAGGTAATATTATGAGTAATTATTCCGACCCCTATATTAGGGCTCTGACGGGGAGGTTCACCGGCCCCCACTATATTCCGAATTCATGTGTGGTACACCGACGGTCTAGTGTTCATGTAGCGGCTGAGCAGTTGAACAAGGGTCTCAGGGGCCCTGTGATTTGTTGCCCAAAGAGTCCATGTACCTACGGAGTATGTACTTTGGCCTTAATCGGGGTTCCTACCTAGTAGCTCCAGCTCCCGAGTATGTACTACAGGTATATGGACTCTGGGGGCCAGTGAGACCTGAGGGGGCGCAAGGTATTCTCCCCAACATTTGCCTCAAACCCTAAACCCTAAACCCTAAACCCTAAACCCTAAACCCTAAACCCTAAACCCTAAACCCTAAACCCGGCTTTCCGGGAACTCACAGCTCACCAGACAATGCAGGAAAAAGGCGCCTCGAGATTGTAGTAGAGGGGTAAAATCACTAGTACTATTCCCTTATGGCCCCTTTAAAATTATAGTACAAAAACCCCCCCAAGCCCCATTCGAATTCTTCAGGCCCCTAAAAAACGCAGTTTCAGGCTGACAAGATCAGGGTCTATGGGACTTCTGAACCCTGAACACATCTGCATGTACAAACTGGGCCCCTCGTGAGCCTCCCAGTTATGCAGCCGCTTGCAAACCCAGACCCCTGGGAGGATCCCAAAAAATAGATCCCCTGTAGGGTTCCTAAGAATGACCCAATAGTTGTACAGGGTACTATTTGGGGGGGGGGTTCTATTTTTTGGGATCCTCCCAAAAGTCTGGGAAGGAGGCCGCTTCGTCCAGCTCGGGATCTTTGCGAAAAGGATTCCTGGCATCCAGGCCCTGTGAGGCTTGGTTTGGGATGTTCCCCCTTAGACTAACAGTCCGAATAGGGATTCTGGTACTCCCTATAAGATCCCTGTTAAGGGCTGACTGTTAGTATAAGGGGGGAACATCCCAAGGTTTGGGGTTCGGCTTGTTGAAATTTCTGGAAGCATCGACTTCGGCAAGTCACTAGAGCAGTGGCTTCCGGATGTGAGGTTTAGGGTGTAGGGTTTAGGACCCTAAAGCCTAAAGCCTGAAGCCTAAACCCTAAACCCTAAACCCTAAACCCTAAACCCTGCTTTCCGAACGGCTCTTCGAAAGTCGCTCGAGTGGTGCTGTAGATTTGAGCCTTCAGGCTGTTTGGTCTCGACTTGTGGGTCTTGTACTGTGGCTTTAGGGTTTAGGGTTTAGGGTTTGGGATTTAGGGTTTGGGATTTAGGGTTTAGGATTTAGGTTTTAGGGTAATTATACGTGCGCTGTGCGACTGTGAGGAGTGCACTTGAATCAGTGAGTCAGTAGCGCGGACAATAGATAGGTGCCATCATCGAGCCCGAAACACGAAACCCGAAACCCGAAACCCTAAACCCTAGACCGAAACCCGGAATCCTACATAATCACATAGTTCGGCGAGCCTTACATAGCACGGCCCTTGGCCCCCCAAAAGGCGCATGGAGTCCTGGATGGATGGCACCCAGATGGCCCTCATTGAAACCTTCTTTGTTGGAGATTTAGGTAACCCTCACCCCTCAACCCTAAACCCTAAACCCTCAACCCGAAACCCTAAACCTAAACCCTAAACCCGGGCTTATTATGACATCATCGTGATTTGGGGCAGGGCTTATGGTTTTCTGGTTGAGGGTCTTTAGGGGTTGTGGATACAATGGACTTTCAGGGCTGAAGACTTTTCCGACTTTTTTGGGGCGCTTTGAGTGAACGTGGGGGTGGGGGGGGGGGGAATCTTAAGAACCTCAAGAACCTCACGCCCCTGTTTGTGTCCTTGAACCTTAGAACCCTAGTTCCTAAACCCTAAGCCCTAAGCCCTAAACCCTAAACCCTAAACCCTATCCCTTAGCCCCTTTCAAAGGCTCCCAGATCTTGAAGCCTCCAGCCCCAGAGGCAGTCCGCACCCCCGACTCCAGAGGCGGTGGGAACCTCCCAGTCAAGAAGGGTTTAGGGTTTAGGTTTTAGGGTTTGGGGTTTAGGGTTTAGGGCTTAGGGCTTCGGGTTTAGTAGGCTTTACATAGCTGCCTATGTAGCTTCAAGTAAACCTCGCCCCTGAACCCTCATGAAACGCTCAACCCCAAGCCTCAGAACCCCAATTCCCGAACCCCAATAGACCTTAGCAACCCTGAACCCTTTAAACAATCAGGATGCAAGACCCCAACTCGAAACTTTGAGAATCCCGGCTTGAGAGCCCCCAACTGCAACACACATGCTTTGGCACTAGCTGGATTTTCTTGGGGGAGCGTTTGTTTTTTCATCATTCAGGAAAATTTCGGAAACTAGTGCATGTATAAATTTTGAGCAGTAAAAAAGAGTTATTTTCCCTTCGAAGTAGGGTTTCGATTTAGGGCTGGCTTCTATCAGGGTTCACTGTATTATTATTATTATTATTATATTATTATTATTATTTTTTTTTTTTTTTTTGGGGGGGGGGGGGGGGGGGGGGGGGGGGGAGGGGGCGGGGGGTTGGGGTACGACGCTCGGCAGGTGGGGTAACACATCATTTGCGTTGTCAAAGTTTGGGAGGTTTTGGAGCTTAGGTCCTGATTTCATTGATTTGGCCCCTAAACCCGAAACCTTAAAACCCTGAACTTCAGAAGCCCAACTGAAACTTTGTCATAGTTGGGTAACATTTTACATTTTTAAGGGTACTTAAACTCAATAAGGAATATACATTTCATTTTTTTTAAATATTATCCCAACAATGAACTAGAAAACCCTTAACATGCCAAACAAGTTATGCCTTTGTGAGATCCTCATCTTTCACACATGACACGTCAACTGAGTGGCCCTGAATCTTTAGGGTTCAGGATTTAGGGTTCGGGTTTTAGGGTTTAGGGCTTGGGGACACCTCAATCAGGGTTTAGGGTGTCAGCTCCAAGGTGGAAGGGCAGGCGAAAGACGGAAGAGATGGAGAGGAGCACGGAACGACAAAACAACAACAGATGTGTGGAGGGGTGTGGGCCAGCAGCTTCTGAGAGACAGTGCACAGCGGCGTCTTTCCTCTTCGTCCTCAAACCGCGCTATCCGATAAACCGTCATACCAGTCTGATGCGCATCACGCTATGCCAACGATGCAGGTCCGGTTGTAGTACCTGTTTTGATATTTGTTTGTGCGCAGTGAATGCACACGTGCGTTTCACACATGCATGTTTGCATGTACGAAGCACATGGATCACATCTTTGGCTGCAGCGATGTTTGCCCACGATCTGGGACGAGCTAGATGTGTAACAATTGTGTTGTACAGCACCCTTACCTTAGTAGCTGCGTAGGTAGCCTTGAACTTTTTGGGGCTGCCATATTTGAAAGGTTAACTTTTCTTGGCTCAGCAACTAGGTTACTGAGCCCTAAACCATAAGCTTGCATGTGTGGAGAAGCAGAAGAACTGAGAAAGCATAAGCAGTCCCACGATCTTAGTGTTCGGTACCTGAGCTGTTGCATGTCGCAAAGAAAGTGGATGCAAGAGACGCACAGTAACATGGAGGTCAAGTGAGAGAGGGAGAGAGAGGGAGAGAGCTTTTTTTGATTGAGAGTGAGTCAGGTTTTTCATGACCCCGCAATTCCCATGACGCTTCAAAGCGCACGCGTCAGAACAACACCTTTGACACTTTAAGTGGGTAGCATTTGCAAAAAACATGCTGGGCAACCACTCGGCAATGCAACTGCCAACGTATAGAATCTCCATATGAAGACATCTATGATAATTAATGCAGAAGCATACCCCCTAAACCTCAAACCCTAGACACTAAACCCTATAATTGGACCCTAAACCCTGAACCCTAAACCCTCAACCCTCAACCCTAAACCCTAAACCCTAGCCCTAAACCCGAAAAAACTCAAACCCTGAACCCTATAAACCCTAACCCTAAGCCAGCTCCGAGGCCACAACCTCAGCACCAGCAAAGAGCACGGAAGGCAGGAAGCACCTGCCCAGATTCTTGGGAGGATCCCAGAAGCAGACCTCCTTCAGGGTTTAGGGTTTAGGGTTTAGGGGTTAGGGGAACGCACTACATGGCCTGAGGTTTAAGTTTCCTGGCCACCTCTAGGAATCTGCCACCCCAAACGCCGGCCAGGCGAGTCCTCGACAGCCTCGACCAGCAAGGTACCGGAGGCAAGCAGGGGGTTAGGCTTAGGGTTTCGGGTTTATGGCTTAGGGTTGCCACATGACGTAGCAGGTGTTAAGACTTAGGGGTTTCGGGCCACACATCATGGTGTTAGGGCTTAGGTTTTTTTTTACGAGATATTTGTGGACTTTGGAAAGTTTTTGGCAGCTTGGGGGCCTCATGTGCGGGACCCAGAGCTAGCACCGTGTTTTGGAGGCTCATGAACCGATGTCTGTTGAACACCAAACCTACAACCCGACGGTTTGGGCCTAAACCGAAGACACGGAGCTTAAACTTAAGCCGCGACCCCGAAACCTTGACACCCTTAGCCACAAGAAGATTCCCTTGCGGATCCTTGGCCTGAAAAACCTTCTCACAGCCTTGGAAAAATGAAACCTGAAAGACTATAAAACTCTGAGAGTACCAACCCCGGTAAAAAACCCTTCTCCAATCCTCACCAAAACCTCATTCGAACCCATATCCCAGAACCCGGTGGTGCTAACCCATCTTGAAACAGACGTGGGCAACGCCGTACGATCTTCGCGCCGAACCCCAGCCCTGCCAGTGTTCTGTTACTCGCCACCCTGACCCTTTAGGGTTTAGGGTTTGGGGTTTAGGCTTTAGGCTTTAAGGTTCGGGGTTCGGGGTTTAGGGTTTAGGGTTTAGGGTTCGGGGTGAAAATCGAAGTAGTGCTCATGTCTGTACTCCAAGAAACAAACCGAAGCCTACAGACAGGCTGAAGAGGCCCTGAACTCGCTCGAGGGCTTGCGGAGAAGGCGTGGGCTTTTTGCAGGTTGTTGGCTTGGGTATGAATCGTGATTCGGGGAGGGGGGGGGGGGGGTGAGGGATTCGGGTTTAGGTTTAGGGGGTTGATCTCTGGTCTCTACGGATGCGGGAAGTTGGAGTGCCTGGATAGTTATTGGGGTACCCAAGGCACTGGAGCACAAGCAACATCTCCAGCTGGACCAAGCAACGATTAGGCTTGAAGTTTGCATGTGTACATGCGCGTGTGCGTATGCGCTTGATTCCTGAATGTCAACGAGCGACTTGTCTTCGGAACTGTAACCCTAAACCTTACCGAGCGCGCCAGGAGGTTTTTGTAACCCTCGAGCCAAGCACTCAACCTTACACCCACTCGTTTTGTGGCTTTTGAGGCCCTATGAAGCTACTTTTTAGAGCGCCATTTAAAGTCAAAGTATCTACTTTGCCTAAACCCTAAACCCTAAACCCTAAACCCTAAACCCTAAACCCTAAACCCTTTACTATACATGGACCCTTTGGGCAAACCCGCTTCAGTCTGCGAGGCTCCAGCACGTCCTCGACGACACAAAGGAAAAGCAGCGCCGCACAGCAGAGCAGGCCCTAGGGTTTAGGGTTTAGGGTTTAGGGTTTAGGGTTTAGGGTTTTGGGTTTTGGGTTTTGGGTTCTTAGTGTTTTAGGGTTTTTAGGGTTTAGGGCGTAGGGCTTAGGGTTTTGGGTTTTTAGGGTTCATAGGGTTTAGGGTTTAGGGTGCAGGGTTTGGGGTTTTGGGTGTAGGGCTCAGAGTTCAGGGTTTAGAGTTCAGGGTCCGTGGGGACGTTTCAACGCGAGTTCGGGGTTGAGGTGGTTTAGGGCTTTTGGCTTGGGTTTTGGGTCCAGCGGCTTTGCACGATTTATGCAGAAGCCCCCCCTCCCCACCCTCCCTCATTCAATTGCAGTTTTTTTGGTCCGGGTGCCGACTTTGCTGGTCAGTAGAAACGGGAGGGAAGTTAGGTATCCCTAAACCATTAAACCACAAGCCTAAACCCTAAATTGGGGGGGGGGGTCTATGTAGGAGCATGGCGGAGAAATGTTGGGCGTACCCTGAAAGTGCAGGTGCACGTATAGTTTATACTTGGGCCTTAAATGGGCCCCGTATAGTAGCTTTATGGCCCGGGTATATACTTTGCCACATGCAGGGTCTATGCTCCGCCCGAATCCCTAGAGCCGCAGAACCCCCTTTGCGCCTTTGAACAGAGTGCCCTAAACCCATAAACCCCAAACCCTAAACCCTAAAACTTAAACCCTAAACCCTAAAGCCTAAACCTTGTAGTTTTAGGGGTTCAGCTGTTCGCGGCCAGGCAGAGGCAGACCGTGCGCAGCAGGCCCATGGAGCAACTACGGAATGTGCGGCAACATACTATGTGTGTTTCCCATGTCTTAGCATAATTCTTATTATTATCATTATTATTATTATTAGTCGTCGTAGTAGTAGTAGTAGTAGTCGTCGTCGTCGTCGTAGTAGCAGTAGTAGTAGTTGGACTGGAGGGGCGTGCAGGTAGACCCAAAAGGCTGCGCGCGTCAGGCCCAATCCTTGGATGCTGCCCTGGCTGCTTTTCAGGCCCCTGGAAGTTTAGGGCTCAAAGGGTTCGTAGGGTTCATGGGGTTTATTGGGTTCGCAGCATAGGGTTCACACGGTTCGTAGGGTTTCGAGGGCTCATAGGGTTCATAGGGTTTGTAGGGTTTAGAGGGTTCATAGAGTTCGTAGGGTTTCAGAGGGTTCATAGGGTTCATGGGGTTCATAGGCTTGAGGGCTCAGGCCTTAAGGTTCCAGGGCCCCTGAACCGTTAACCCTGTAACCCTTGACTGAAGCCCTAGACCCCTAAGCCCTGAAACCCCTAAACCCCTCTAAGCCCTGATTCCTGAACCCTAAACCCTAAACCCTCAACCCAAAACCCTAAACCCTAAACCCTGTTTTGTTTGAAGTCCAGGATTGCTTCTGCAGGCTCAATTTCTTGCAGCGCGAAGTGTTGGATTGCAGCATGGCTTCTTTCGCCTGTTCAAAGCCCAAAGCCCCCAAAACAGCCCTCAGACCCCCTAAACCCTAAACCCTAAACCCTAAACCCTAAACCCTAAGCCCTAAACCCTAAACCCTAAACCCTCAACATGCACTCCAGGGCCCAGCTCATTGTGTCCCTACGGTTGGGGGGGAGGGGATTCTTTTGTAAGGGTGAAAGGGTTATAGCATCATGAGGGGGGGGGGGGGGGAATATTGTTTAAGTATGTATATATAACCTAAACCCTAAACCCTAAACCCTAAACCCTTAAACATACCCTTGGGGTATAGGCAGGGAGCCGCATGTTTGGCAAGGACCGATATGTAACAGGACGGCCTCGAGCACCGGGGATGCTTCCGTTTAGAGAAGACTTGGGCCTTCGGGGTTTAGGGTTTAGGGTTCAGGGTTTAGGGTTTAGGGTTTAGGGTTTAGGGTTTAGGGCATAGGGTTTAGGGTTTCGGGTTTGGGGTTTGAGGTTCGCGAACAGGTGAAATGGCCCACGTCGGCCATGAAGGAGAAGCAGGCGAAGGCTCGTGGTGCCGCTGTTTTACCCCGCGCCTCCCCAGGAAAGGCCGCAGTTCTCACAGACTACGTTTCCCAAGGGTGCTGTACCCAATCCTTGCGTATCAGGGTTCCTCCTAAGCCACAAACCTAACACTCCCCTTGGAAGAAGCTATACTTCTTGTAGGGACGTCCGACTAGCAGCGCAGCTCCTCCCCGACGTACACAACACGTGAATCCTAAAGCATCTTGGAGTATGGGGCCGAAAAAGCAAATCCGCAAGTCCCCAAAAATCCGAAAATTCCGAAAGATGCTTAGAAGGGATTGTGATCCCTTGCAAGCAGCATTACTTGGTAGCCCAGCGGTACCCGTTACCCTTTTTTGGTTCTGGTCCCCTTACAAAGTAACAAACCAAAAAAAGAGTGCCCTTGTTTGAATCTGGTTACTGGGCTACTAGGATTAAATTCATCAAGTAAGGGGCACCTAGGAAGACTTGCAGGACGTACTACCCCCCACGCCCACCCCACCTTCCCCTGGTGCGGACTTTGCACCGCCCTGTCCTTCATTCTTGACCACAACAACCTTCTGTATTCCCCTAAGGAGCCAGTACCTATAGAGTATATACTTTGGCCTCAAAGGGGTGGCTATATAGTAGCTTTAGTATGTACTATATGGGTACATGGATCCTTTGGGTTCGGGATTCGTGATTCAAGGACGTTTGTACATTCCAGGGCTCCAAAGCACACCCCTAAGCCCTGTTTGGTGTCTAAGGTCAGCCCGAACTTGAACCCTAAACCCCATGAACCCTGAACCGTCAACAGCCCTCAACCCTATACTAAACCCTAAACCCTAAACCCTAAACACTAAACCCTAAACCCTAAACCCTAAAACCCTAAAACCCTAAAACCCTAAAACCCTAAAACCCTAAAACCCTAAAACCTAACCCCTAAACCCTAAGCCACCAAAAAACACGCTGCCTTCTTTGCCAGGCCAGCAAGGAGATCGACACAGGCCTTGCCGAGCTCCGGGCGGCCTTCAACGATTCGCGAAGGCATCGGTTCAGGGTTAGGTCTAAACCCCAAACCCTTAGGGTTTAGGGTTTAGGGTTTAGGGTTTAGGGTTTAGGGTTTAGGGTTTAGGGTTTAGGGTTTAGGGTTTAGGGTTAGGGTTTAGGGTTTAGGGTTTAGGGTTAGGGTTTAGGGTTTAGGGTTTAGGGATTAGGCTGGGGCTTTGGTGAGAGGTGGGTCTTGGCTGTCTTGAGTAACGCAGCAGCTTTGGGATCGTTTGCTTGAGGCTGACCCTAAACCTGTGTAGCGTGGGCGAGGAACACGTGCCTCAACGGCTTTGGGAAACCGCACCCAGCAAGGTTTAGGGTTTGGGGTTTGGGGTTTGGGGTTTGGGGTTTGGATTTAGTGCCCTCCAACGCCTTAAACACTGCGGGGTTCAGGGTTTAGGGTCGAGAGCCTAGATAAACAAAAAACCCAACACGTGCTTTTACCCTCCTCAAGGTACAGGACACAGTAGCACTCTATCCTCTATGCAGCTGTAATCGCAAGAACTGCCCATCTTACCAGTTTTGGGCATCTACGGCGCTGCGGCTCTCTCTTGCCAAGGGTTTGGGATTTGGGGTTTAGAGTTTCGGGTTTAGGGTTTAGGGTTTAGGGCTCTATCTTGCCACTGATTTGGGCTACAGGGTTGAGGTGCCTAAGGGCTTCGGGTTTTAGGCGTTCCAAACCCGGGTTTGGGGTATGGTTTAGGGTTTAGGGTTTAGGGTTTAGGGTTTAGGGTTTAGGGTTTAGGGTTTAGGGTTTAGGGTTTAGGGTTTAGGGTTTAGGGTTTAGGGTTTAGAGTTTAGGGTTTAGGGTTTAGGGTTTAGGGTTTAGGGTTTAGGCCAAAAACCCACAGGCTTAGGAAGCGTTGGGGTCTCGGGCTTAAGACCCTGTCCCCAACCGGAATGGGCTGTCATCGGGACTTTGTTGGTTTTTGAACCCTAAGCGTCCATGTACCTCATTATTGTCCGTAAACCCTAAACCCTAAACCCTAAACCCTAAACCCTACACCCTACATCCTACACCCTACACCCTAAACCCTAAACCCTAAACCCTATTTAGGTACATGGACCCTTACTGTTAGTTATCATGGAGACCAGGCGGCGCAGTGGCGATGATCGCAAGGCGCTGTCTGCATTGAAGGTGGCAGCCGAGGACGGGTTTGAGAAGCAAGGGTTTAGGGTTTAGAGTTTAGGGTTTAGGGTGTAGGATTTAAGGTCCTTACTAGTTCTTACATTCGGAATTTAGGGAACTAGGTGCCCTACACAGTCCATTAGGGAAAGGCTTAGATGTAGGAGCTATGAGGTGCCCATATCCCAACTTAACTCCTTATTCAGAACCAGCAAGGCTTCTGGATACAGCTATGTTTCCCTTTTTTAGATCCTTTGTTGCAGGGCTAGAAGACAAACGGTCCTTAGACTATTGCCGTACATTCCAAACCCACAAACCCTGTGTTCAGGGTTTAGGGTTCAGGGTGTAGGGTTTAGGGTTTGGGGTTTCGGGCAGCTGAGTCCATGGCAAACTGCTTTCGGTTGGGGGGTCGACCAAAACCCTGTAACAAGCCTTCCTGGGAGTAAATGGCTTTAGGGCTTATAGGGCGTAGGGTCATAGGGTTCAGAGACCAGGCCCCCCCCCATAATAGGTTTTAGATGTTGATCCAACGCCTTCGTGGCGAGAAGTTTCGAGCCTTTAAATCCCAAAACCTACATGAACCCTAAACTCTAAACCTTAAACCCTAAACACGAAACCCAGTTAAGATGAGGATGTGAACGGCTTTGTGGTTTAAGTTGGGTTTAGGGTTTCGGGTTGAGGGTTTAGGGTTTAGGTTTAGGGTTTAGGGCTTAGGGCTTAGGGTTTAGGGTTATAGGGTTTAGAGTTTAGCCCTCCGAGTTTTGGGTTAGGGTTTATGCGGTTTAGGGTGGCTGTTGCAGTTTGTGCAGGAGGCGATCAGCCGGGTGCAGAAGGCTCGGATCGGATCCGATCGAGGTTCCGTAGGCTTAGGGTTCAAGGTTCAGGGTTTAGGGTTTAGGGTTTAGGATTTGGGGTTCAGGCCCAGGGGTCAGGGTTCAGGGTTCAGGGTTCAGGGTTCAGGGTTCAGGGTTCAGGGTTTAGGGTTTAGGGTTTAGGGTTTAGGGTTTAGGGCGTGGCACCAGACAAGCCTTACTTTTGGTTTACAGTAGGGTGGGGGTTAAGGGTTAAACCCTAAACCCTAAACCCTAGTGTTTAGGCTCGGATCCTCGAGGTAAGCCTGCAACGTTTCCCAATGCCGCGGGTTTGGGGTTTAGGGTTGAGGGTTTAGGGTTGAGGGCTGAGGGTTTAGGGTCTAGGGTATAGGGTTTAGGGTTAACTTCCACCTGCAACAAGACAGCACCAAGCGGCTTTGGGCAGGTTGGATATGTAGGGCTTTGCAGCTTCACGAAGGGGCTTCAGGAATTTGGGTCCTTCGGGCGTAGCGGCGTAACAGCGTAAGGGCTTGAGGGCTTACAAGGTATCGGAAGCCCAATCAGGGAGGTTGAGGTGAAGCCCTGACTAGTTTAGGGTTTAGGGTTTAGGGTTTAGGGTTTAGGGTTTAGGGTTTAGGGTTTAGGGTATTAGGGTTTAGGGTTTAGGGTTTAGGGAAGCGTTTGTGGTTGTATGCGTTTAGGGTTAAGGGTATTTAGGGCTCTGGGTTTAGTAGCTGCCCCGCATCATACAGGACGTTGTCAATGGGGCTGCCCTACATCTAAGATGGATTTTTCCAGGCCTCTCTACAAGAGTCTTGAACGGAATGCCTTTGAACCTCTTCCCTTCGGAGGGTGACAAACGGCCATTCAGGGCAAACACCAATCCCTACTCTCAGCTTCGAGACGAGCATGCACTGGGAATACTGGATGCAGAAATCCAGATGCTTCAGCGTGCCTCCAAGCTCTACAGGTACCAGGCGATGGCAGAAGAGAAGGCAGACATGGCCATGGGAGGCGTTTATCGCCTAAAGTTTGTTGCGGGCCCGATTGCAGTACCGTGGTTTGTTTAGATTGACATCTTTTCAGCGGTGCCACGAGGGCGGTTCTCTAAGTTCGGGTCGAGTCCCTGTTGGGGATCGTTTCTAGGCACCCACAAAGGGAACCTAATTAAACCCTAAACCCTAAACCCTAAACCCTACACCCTAAACCCAAAACCCTAAACCCTAAGAATCAAGGATCAAGGATCCTCCATCGCAACCCCAAATACAGAAGGCCCTAAACCCTAAGCCCTAAACCCTGAATCCTAAACCCTAAACCCTAAGCCCCAAACCCTAAACCCCAAACCCCAAACCCTAAACCCTAAACCCTAAACCCTGAACCCGAAACCCTAAACCCTAAACCCTAAACCCTAAGCTGCCAGCACCAGGCGGCTGATGGTGCGAATGCAAACAAAGGCTCGGCCGAGGACTCGTCTAGGGTTTAGGATTTAGGGTTTAGGGTTTAGGGTTCAGGGTTTAGGGTTTTGGGTTTAGGGTTTTGTGTTCAGGGTTGAGGGGTTAGGGTTTAGGATTTAGCGTTTCGGGTTTAGGGTTTAGGGCTTAGGGTAGCAAGCGCTGCCCTGTTTACGGGTCCAGGGTTTACCGGCACAGTTTTCGTTGCTGGCAAGAGATCCCTTTTACGACAAATGATGTGTCCGTACGTGTATCGAGCTGCCACCTCGCCCTCGTACGCCTTGAAAACAACTCCCATTGCAACCCTAACCCCTAAACCCTCAACCCTCAACCCTCAACCCTCAACCCTCAACCCTCAACCCTCAACCCTCAACCCTCAACCCTCAACCCTAAAACCCTCAACCCTCAACCCTAAAACCCGAAACCCTAAACCCAATCCTAAGCTCTTGAATCCCTTTAAGGCCCCTCGCTCAAAGAGCCCCGAACTCTACAGTCACCCCTAGAATCCTCAGCTCCAAACCCTAAGGTCAGCCCGAAACCTGAAGCGCCCTCAGCCCTTTCCCCACCCCCCACAAAAAAAAGCGTCATTATCCTCAAAACTCTCAGCCTCAGAAGCCCCACCCTAAACCCTAAACCCTAAACCCCTAAACCCCTAAACCCCTAAACCCTAAACCCTAAACCCCAACAAACCCCAGGACCGCCAAATTGCAGCAGTGGCTGCCTTCCACGCCATGCCACTTACCGCGAAGCTCCGCATTTTGGCCCAGGAGAAGGCGAGAATTCAGGATCTTTTCGGGGTTCAGGGTGTAGGGTTTAGGGTGTAGGGTTTAGGGTTGAGGGTGTTAGGGTGTTTGGGTTTTTGGGTGTTAGGGTGTTAGGGTGTTAGGGTGTTAGGGTGTTAGGGTGTTAGGGTGTTAGGGTGTTAGGGTTGAGGCTTCTGTTCCTGAAGCCCCAGACCCTGTAGAAAGTTTTCGGGGTGTAAGGCTGGGTCTTAGAGTTTAGGGTTTTGTGGGTGTCAAGGTTATTTGGACTGCAAAAAACCATCCAGAATACTCACCTGCAGACCAACTAAAGCCCAACGTATATCGGCAACGCGTGCTGATGGGTGCGATGAGGGTGTGGTGCCACAGAATCAGAAGTCTTGGGAATGCTTTGGCAGTGTTTCATGGGTTTAGGGTTTAGGGTTTAGGGTTTAGGGTTTAGGGTTTAGGGTTTAGGGTTTGGGGTTGAGGATTCCGGGTACTGAGACAGCTTGGGTCGATCAGTAGGCTGAAGCGCTGGCCGCCCTAAACCCTTATAGACCCTGAAGCCTAAACCCTTAAGTAACACCCTAAACTCAACCCTAAACCCTAAACCCTAAACCCTAAACCCTAAACCCTAAACCCTAAACCCCTAAACCCTTAAGTAACCCAGGATGGACGCACCGAAAGCCTGAAATCAGACCTTCCAGCCCTTCAAGGCCTTGCTTGAAAGCCCCATGACGCCCAGAGAACCTACGGACCCTTGCAAGCCTTAGACAAAAACCCTAAACGGTTTAGGGTTTAGGGTTTAGGGTTTAGGGTTTAGGGTTTAGGGTTTAGGGTTTAGGGTTTAGGGTTTAGGGTTTAGGGTTTAGGGTTTAGGGTTTAGGGTTTAGGGCTCAATCCGTAGAGAAACCTAAAAACCCTCAAGCCTAAGCATATCCCAAAAAGCCCTGCAACCCCAATTCCCAAATGAGGTTTCCAAAAAACGGGGGTACCTTGTCCCCTATTTTCCTAAACCCTATACCCTAAGACCTAAACCCTTAACCCTAAACCCTAAACCCCCCAAATCGCTCCAGAAAGCCTCCGCGGCGCTCCTCGGCGGCAGCTTCCTGCTTGGCACCCTGGCGATGCTCGGCATTTGCCTGGAGGCCAGCTAGGGTTTAGGGTTTAGGGTTTAGGGTGTAGGGTGTAGGGTGTAGGGTTTAGGGTTTAGGGTTTAGGGTTCAGGGTTCAGGTTTTAGGGTTTAGGTTTAGGGTTTAGGGTTTAGGGTTTAGGGTTTAGGGTTTAGGGTTTAGGGTTTAGGTTTTAGGGTTTAGGGTTTAGAGTTTAGTGTACCCTAGACCCCAAACCCCATACCCCAGTGGGCCCTCAACCCACAACCCAAAACATACCTCCACCCGCAGCAGTCCTGAACCCTGAAAACCCTGCACCCTAGACTTACTAGTTGAATGAGTACACTTTCTTTATTTGTGATACTATAATTCCCTTTCGAACTGAAAGTGTACACTTCTGTGGGCTTATGAACTCAGCAACTAAGTAGATGGAATCACTGATCCCTGGAAGTCCGTCCTAAACCCTTGAAAGCCTGAATCACAAAAGTCGGCACCCAAGCCCGGAACTCTGCAATCAAGCTTTCCCCTCCCCCCCCTCCCCCCCTCCCCCCCCACCACCCCTCCCCACCCCCCCACTCCCCCCACCCCACCCACCCCCCCCCCCCCCCATCCCCCCTCCCTCCCCCCCTCCCCCCCCCCACCCCCACCCCCCCCACTCCCCCCACCCCCCCCCTCCCCAACCCCCCGCCCCCCCCACTCCCCCCACTCCCCCCCCCATCCACTACCTCCCACCCCCCCCCCCCCCCCCCTCCCCCCACCCTCCCCCCACGTCCCCCCCCACCTCCCCCCCCCCCCCACCCCCCCCAGCACCCCCCCTTCCCCACTCCCCCTCGCCCCCCTCCCCCTTCACCCCCCCACTTCCCTCACCCCCCCCCGTCCCCCCCCGACCCCCCCACTCCCCCCTCCCCCCTCCCCCCCCACAAAAAAAAATCTGCGCAAGAGCCTTCCTGAACCCGCAACACCCTGCGCTTCAACTCCAAAATGGGTTGTAGGGTTTATGGGATTTAGGGTCTATTTGTCAGGTTTATAGGGTTGACAGAGTTTACAACAGGGGTTCTGGGCTTCTTAGGGTATGGAGGGTTGAGGCTTTCTCTCGCAGGTTGTGAGAGTTTAGGGACGATTCCGCGGCTTAGGGAACTGCCCGGGGACTGTCTGGCGTTCAATCCGAAGCTTTTCACGAAGTTCAAAACTCGACATTTGCGGGTTTCCGAAATTAGGGGTATCTGTCTGTCGATCTCCGTCTGTTTGATGTTAGAGTTTAGTGGTTGTGGACATTCGCCAAAAAACCGAAATCTTTAAGACCATTTAGGATTTAGGGTTTAGGGATATATTCCCGAAACATCCTAAAACCCATAGAACCCTTAGATCCAAATGCCCAAGCCCTGTCTGCTGGCAGATCTACACCGCCTGGGGCTGCAGGCTGCAGTGCTCGTAGGGTTTAGGGTTTCGGGTTTGGGGTGTAGGGTTTGGGGTTTTAGGGTTTTAGGGTTTTAGGGTTTCAGGGTCTTAGGGTTTTAGGGTTTTAGGGTTTTAGGGTTTTTGGGTTTTTGGGTTTAGGGTTTATGGCTGAAACCCAAAAGTAACTGTCAAGAGACCGGGCTCTGCACACCTGCAGCTGGGATGCTATGCGTTGAGCACGCGCACTGCTAAACCCTGAACCCGGCCTAAACCCTAAACCCTAAACCCTAAACCCTAAACCCTAAACCCTAGACCCTAGACCCTAAACTCTAAACCCTAAACCTAAACCCTAACCCTAAACCCTAACCCTAATTAAGCCCAACCCCCTAAACCCCCAAGAGCGGCGCAACATCGATGCAGCGGCACTTTAGAGCGGTGACAGAGAAAGATGCGTCTGGCAACCCTGCACTTCTCGGTTCTTCATGGGGAACCGGGGGCGGGGTGGTTAGGGTTTACTTTAGGGTCTAGGGTCTAGGGTCTAGGTTTTGGGGTACCCTATATAGCCCCTTAAATGGTCATATGGGGGGGGGGGGGGTGGGGGGGGGGGTGGGGGGGGGGTGGGGGGGGGGGGGGGGGTGGGGGGGGGGGGGTGGGGGGGGGGGGGGGGGGGGGGTGGGGGGGGGGGTGGGGGGGGGGGTGGGGGGGGGGGTGGGTGGGGGGGGGGGGGGGGGGGGTGGGGGGGGGGTGGGGGGGGGGGTTGGGGTGGGGGGGGGGGGGGGGGGGGGGGGGGTGGGGGGGGGGTGGGGGTGGGGGTGGGGGGGGGGTGGGGGGGGGGGGGTGGGGGGGGTGGGGGTGGGGGGTGGTGGGGGGGGGGGGGGGGTGGGGGGGGGGGGGGGGGATTTTTAAGTCCCCTTCGTTAGTGCGGGTTGCAGGGTGCCCCCTGGGGACTATATGAACCCTTAAAGAGGTTTAGGGGTTGGGGTCTATGCACCTTCGTGGGGATCGCAGAAGCATGGTGTAAATGATCCCAAAAAGTTGGAAGGGTTCGTTTGTGCTCAAGGTTTCAGGGCATCCGAAATCTGAAGAGGCAGTTTCGGAGGGAAAAACCCCAACTTAGAACCGCCCTGCATTGTTGAGCTTTCTGCGGTTTGTGGTTGAAATGGTTGAGGGTTTTCGTTTTTTAGATGTGTCACGGTGGCTAGGTTTTGCTGGAATCAACTCTGCCCTCTCAGACATCTCAATGAGTCATTGTCGAAACTGCATGAAGGGAGGATTATACGGAGAAGACCTATACAGTAGGTATATATGTATATACAAACAAAGACAAACACATGTAAATTTAAATATAAATATGAATATAAATAAAAATATAAGTATAAATAGATACATATATATATATACACATATATATATATATACGTGTGTATCTGTTACATAGACATACATGCATACATATTTTGCACATACTATAATTTGTGTCGTTACTATGTTGGTGCATGTATGGTTATGAAAGGTGTTCAGACTTTGCGCTCAGAGGCCACATCACTCCCCGACACACGGATTCGGCTTTTCCATACAGAGCTTACAGGGCTCATGGTCTGATGCGCGCACTCGGGTTTCCACATTTCTTGGGGGTTAACCCCCCCCCCCCCCCAAAAAAAAAAAAAAAACACACACACACACACACCTGAAAAAGCTTCCCGATTCGGGTAGTTACCCTTGTAGCTGTCTGAAGGCTTTAAGAGGACATGAAGGATGATGGTCTAGGCTCCTGTTTTAGCATTTGGCCGGCCAGTGCTTTTGTGTGTGTTGTCTCTGTATGATTGCTTCCTGATGTATTTGGTGCATGGAGTCCTTCTCAATAGCACCTAAACCCTAAACCCTAAACCCGAAACCCGAAACCCTAAACCCTAAACCCTAAACCCTAAACCCTAAACCCTAAACCCTAAACCCTAAACCCTAAACCCTAAACCCTAACCGTAAACCCTAAACCCTAAACACTGATTGAGCATCCTGGAGACCCAAAGCCGACTCTTACACGCAGACCGCAGAGCCTTCGGGACCAAATGAACCCAACATGTGATCATGTACCCTAAACCCTAAACCCTAATCCCTAAACCCTAAACCCTAAACCCTGCCAAAATCCCTCTAGCCCCCAACTGAGGGTATATGAGCCCTGTAATCCCTACTTAAGGTATATGAGCCCTGTAACCCCCCGCTTGAGGTATATGAGCCCGGGAACGGAGATCCGGACCCCAACAGCAAGCGCACCACCCGAAACCTTATGTCAATAGCACGCCCCCGCCCCCCCCCACCCCCCCGCCCTCCCTACCACAAACCAAACAAACCATACTCCAAACCCAAAACCCTAAACTCTAAACCCAAAACCCTAAACCCTAAACCCGAAACACCCCCAGCGCATGCAGCCCACAAGCTAGACCAACGTGCAACTCCACAACGAGACCTCACCTATCCCTGGTTCTTGAACCCCTAGACCTTAGGGTTTAGGGTTTTGGGTTTAGGGTTTAGGGTTTAGGGTTTAGGGGTAAACTCTGAACCCTCAACCCTCCTGCGTCGACTTCATGCGGCGCGATGCTGCCTCTGCGTATCGCAGCATCAGCGCGGGCCTTGTAGTTCACTTTTTGGGGGTACATGGTTTAGGGATTAGGGTTTAGGGTTCAGGATTTAGGGTTAGGGGAGATGATCACTCACATAAATACTCAACGAAGAGTACGCAACCCAAACAGAACTCCAATAAAGCGTCTAGGCAAGTCTGACAGTTTGGGGCCTGCAGTGTTTAAGACGGGAGGTCAGAAGTGAATCTGTATTGGTACTGCTTTAGGGTTCAGGGTTCGGGTTTAGGGTTTAGGGTTTAGGGTTTAGGGTTTAGGGGTTAGGGGTTAGGGGTTAGGGTTTAGGGTTTAGGGTTTAGCGTTGAGGGTTTAGGGTTTAGGGTTTAGGGTTTAGGGTTAGGGTTGCCTGTATCATCTGGTGTGGCGGACTGCTCGTTGCAAGCGGCGTAAAGGTGGGTGTCTTTGCATCACACGAGACAAAACGAGTCACAGCATTAACTCAGCGGTTTTGTTGCTCTGCCGTCTTGGAATGGTGTTGTTTCGGGTCTTTCGGGTTTAGGGTTTGGGGTCAGGCTACGAGATCTCTAGAGAATCTGGGCCCAACAATGTGGTTTAAGAGTTTCGTGCTCGTGGTTTGCCACAATCTAGATCTCTAAAGACTTTGGACCTTGTCTAAGCTTATTGTTTAGGGTTTAGGGGTTTAGGGTTTAGGGTTTAGGGTTTAGGGTTTAGGGTTTAGGGTTTAGGGTTTAGGGTGGGGGGGGGGGGCTCAGGTTCCCTCATAAACCCCCTTGAACCAAGAAGGGCACCCTGCTTATTCCTAGGTCACTCTTGGGCCTACAGGGTGGGGCCCCCTAGTTATAAGTAGAGTTATAAGGGCCCTAAATTGGGTTATAAGGGCCCTAAATTGGGTTATAAGTCCCTTAACTACAGTTAGTATAGTAAGGGGGCCCCACCCTGTATGGTCATAAATCCCTATCACTCAACGCCTTAGACCGGCCCCTGTTCCAATATGTGCCTCAACCATCTGGTTTACTGACTCCTGCTAATGCATGAGTTTGCTCCTGCACCGAAAATGGTACCAGCTTTGAGGACCGCAACAATGTAGATGTGTCCGACGTTCTGAATCGATGGCATGCAGTAAAACAACAATAGCATAGCTTCTGTAAGAGCGTTCCTGACTACACTTAATATTCTGCGCAAGTCTGACATGTACCGTCACCTGGGGTTTAGGATTATACTTCGTCAATAGTCTGCGCAGGTCTGACATGTATGTGTTTCCGTCACCTAGGGTTTAGGATTACACTTCGTCAATAGTCTGACATGTATAGTGTTTCCGTCCCCAGGGTTTAGGATTTATTCCATCAAGTAGGGGGAAGATGCAGATCTCACAGCTCAGACCTGAACTCTTAAACCCTAAACCCTAAACCTTAAACCCTCAACCCTCAACCCTCAACCCTAAACCCTAAACTCTAAACTCTAAACCCTAAACCCTAAACCCTAAACCCTAAACCCTAAACCCTAAACCCTAAACCCTAAACCCTAAACCCTAAACCCTCACCTCCAACCTTAGTTGTACTTGGATGTTTGTTCGCTGCAGCTGTTTCCGGTTCCCCTGGGCATGAGTGCCCAGCCTTGCCGGCACTTCCGGAAACTTGGTCGCCCAGTGGCACCCTTTTCCCACATACTTAGGGTCTAGGGTTCTAGGGTTCTAGGGTTTTGGGGTTTTGGGGTTCTAGGGTTCTAGGGTTTTGGGGTTTTGGGGTTTTGGGGTTTAGGGTTCTGGGTTCTAGGGTTTAGGGTTTAGGGTGTAGGGTTCAAGGTTCCCTTATAAAGTAACCAGCCCAAAACAGATGTCCTTATTGACACATGCTTACTGCAAGGAAAGGATGTTGCCGCATCGAATCGATCGAGCCGATGGCAGAGACCATGAGAGCAACCCGAGCCGACGCGTGATCCCGTGCCCGGGAATTCCTTTAGCATAAACAACCCTAAACCCTATACCCTAAACCCTAAACCCTAAGCCGAGGCGAAAACACGAAGCGAAGACGTAACCCTAGACCCTACAATAAGCCCTCAAATCGCGCAATGATGAAGCTTGATACCTTTCGTTTTGGGGCCATCGGCTACCAGCGTGGGTACTTTGAGGGTCGGTTCGGGCGTTTTACGGGCCAACATCTTGGCGCGCTTCCAAATCGCGAGAGCAGTGAAGGTACATCGACACGTTTGGCTATGACCTCCCGAAGTCTTGCAAAGCCAGAGTCCACGTGGCCAAGGAAGGCCCGCCCGATCTCCTACAACTGCCCAGGCATGCCATCGCAAGGGAGGTGCCGGCTTACCCCCCGCGCGCATTCCGCGAGTCTGTTCCCTCCGCAATCTCGCCAAAGGTTTTCGAGCCGACGGATTTCGAGGAGTTGGAGCTGTTGGCCAAGAACTTGCAGCAGAGCAAAGATGCGGAAGAGCTGCTGCAGAAGCAGAAGCAGCTTGAAGAGCTTGAGCAGCATTTAGCAAGGCAGGGCATGGAGGCCCAGGGCAAGTTGGACGAGTGCCTGGCGCAGAAGGTCCAGCTCGAGGAGCAGTTGGAGCAGCAGCGCGTGACGGCCCACAATCTGGCTCAGAAGCAGAGGGAAATGGAGGAGCTGCTTGCGAACCGCCCGCCCCCGGCCCCCACCCCCCAAAAGCAACCACACCCCTCTCAAACCAGAGTAAGCTCCTACCTGAAGGCTCTGATGTAGTGCCCTTTTGGGTTAGTTATAGAGGATTCCCCTAAAAAGGTACCCTAAACCCTAAAAACCCTAAAAACCCTAAAAACCCTAAAAAACCTAAAAACCCTAAAAACCCTAAACCCTACACCCTAAACCCTAAACCCTAAACCCTAAACCCTAAACCCTAATCCCTAAACCCTAAACCCTAAACCCTAAACCCTAAACCCTAAACCCTAAACCCTAAACCCTAAACCCTAAACCCTAAACCCTAAACCCTAACCCTAAATCTAAACCAGTAAGTTTTTGTGCCATGAAGGAGCTCCTAGAACTCGAGCGCAGCTTCAACCAGAAGATTGTCGCGGAGAAGAGGGAGATTCAGGAGAAGAGCCTGGGATTAGGGTTTAGGGTTTAGGGTTTAGTGTTTAGTGTTTGTAGGGTTTAGGGTTTAGGGTTAAGTAGGGTTTAGAGTTTAGGGTTTAGGGTTTAGGGTTTAGGGTTTAGGGTTTAGGGTTTAGGGTTTAGGGTTTAGGGTTTAGGGTTAGGGTTTATAGGGTTTACGGCCAGGAGCAGCGGGAGGTCCTCCTCCAGCAGAAGGAGCAAGAGATCCAAGCCATCCTCCGCGAGGCGCCATACTGTGAGCTTGCAGTTTGTCTTCTTAGGGTAGCTAGTTTTTTCATGGTCCCTTCATGGGCCCTCAAAAAGGGGGTTTATGGTTTAGGGTTTAGGGTTTAGGGATTAGGGTTTAGGGTTTAGGGTTTGCTGTGATAGGGCGTAGGTGCTGTGAAGGTTAGGTTTCGGAACAAGCTCGATAGCTTCGTGAGGTGCGTAGAGCAGCTTTGGCCCGATTGTGGAGGGCCATCTAACACTTTTCTCCCACCCCACGCCGTCCGAGGCGGCAAAGCCACCCAAACCTATTCCTTTTATGGTTTAGGCCTAAACTCAAGGCAACAGTCCACTTCTAAAAACTTATTCAGTTTCATGACGTTCGGGGTTGGGTCCGAGAGTCAAAGGAATGGCAGGGGGTGTCAGGGGGCCCTAGGTAGTTTCAGGGGGGCTTGGCGCAGAGGCCAAGCAGGGCCAGAGGGCTCAGGGATGTCAGGGAAAAAGATGACCAGGGGGCAGGAGGGCCCCCCCTGCGCCTGAGCCCTGAGCACCCTGCGGCAAGGGGTCCGGGTCCTCCTCGGCTTGCGCCATCGAAGTTCAGGCGCCCCCCCAACGTAGGGGGGCGGTCTAGGCCCTGAGTTTAGGGTTTAGGGTTTAGGGTTTAGGGAAGTACAGTAGCCTCCAAAAAGTTAGAACATCCTTATCCCACACCCAAAAAGACTTACTCAAGGGAATCCCAGCCTTAAACCATGCTCCAACTTTCTGGAGTTTACTGCATGTCAAGTACCCTCAGGATCCATGTACCTATATAGTATATACTTAGGCCTTAAAGGGGTTCCTATATACTAGCTTTAGGGGCCAAGTATGTACCATATAGGTACATGGATCCTTTGGGTGTAGGGAAGTCGGCGTCCCTTTTTTGATCCTCGCGATGAAGGGCCCTACATGGGCCTCGCAGAGGAGTTTAGGAGACCCAGGCAAGGAGAATGGTTGGCATAGGGTTTAGGGTTTAGGGTTTAGGGTTTAGGGTTTAGGGCTTAGGGCTTAGGGCTTAGGGCTTAGAGCTTAGGGCTTAGGGCTTAGGGTTTAGGGTTTAGGGTTTAGGGTTTAGGGTTTAGGGTTTAGGGTTTAGGGTTTAGGGCAGGAGAAAGCTATCAACCCCCACAGCAAGGATGGGGAAAGAAACAAAGCCGTTCACTCTGAAGCCTTAACTCCAGTTTCCCCGGCCCCAATCCCTGCAACCCTAAACCCGAAACCCTAAATCCTAAACCTAAAACCTAGAGCCCCAGCCCCAAACCCTAAACCCTAAACCAACCCTAAACCAACCCTAAACCGGCCCTAAACCCTGAAACTCTTAAACCTTAAAACCCCAATCCCCAAAACCTTAAACCCCAAACCCCAACAAGAACCCTAAAGCCCTCAACCGCTAAAGTCCTTAAAACCCCTAAAACCCTCAATCCTAAACCCCTAACCCACCAAAAAAAACCTAAAACCCCCGACAACCTCAAAAACCCCTACAACCCCTAAAATCCCTAGAACCCCCAGAACCCCTGGAACGCCTAGAACCCCTAAACCCTAAAACCCCCAAACCCTTAAACCCCTAAACCCTAAACCCCCTAATCTCTACCCGCAACCTGGCGACCAGGAGCCCTAAACCCTAAACACCTAAACCCTAAACCCCTAAACCCTAAACCCCTATACTCCCTAAACCCCTAAACCGCTAAACCCTATTTTCAACCTGACGACCAGGAGCGACTCCCCCTAAACCCTAAACCCCTCAAAACTCCCAAAACCCTCAAAACCCCCAAAACCCCCAAAACCCCTCGACCCCCAAACCCTAAGCCCTAAACACCTACCCCCTAAAACCCCTAAACCCCTGAACCCTAAAACCCTAACCTGGCGACCAGGAGCGATTTCAGAGCCAGGAGCTCTTGGCCACCCAGGCAGCGCGCCAAAGCGACGAGGACAAGAAGCGACAGGCCGAGCTCAGGGCGGAGGGTTTAAGGTTTAGGGTTTAGGGTTCAGGGTTTAGGGTTTAGGGTTTAGGTTATGTTCGTTGGCTGCGGGTTTAGGGTTCAGGGTTTAGGGCATAGAGTTTAGGGCTCAGGGCTTAGCGTTTAGGGTCTAGGGCTAAGGGTTTTAGGGCTCAGGGCTTAGCGTTTAGGGTTTAGGGTTCAGGGCACAGGGTTTAGGGTGTAGGGTTTAGAGTTGTAGGGTTTAGGGTTTTAGGGTTTACGGTTTACGGTTTTGGGGTTTATGTGTCTAGACGGGGATTTCCGAGAGTAGGGATACCCATTTTGGGGGGGGTTTCCTGCAATATTTTGCGGGGTGTAGGAAGGGACCCCTATTTTTGGAAACATATTGTCTATGTTTGGGCCATAAAATGCTACCGCAGTTTCTAGGAGCCCCCTTAAGCCCCGAGCATCTGCTGTACAAGGACATGGACCCTTACTTGGAGGTTCATGGTACTTATTAACCAAATTATAACTGTACTTCTAACTGTACTTATGACTTTATTAGGGTACTTAAGGGGCTTATCAGTGGGTTATAAGTACAGTTATAATTGGTCAATAAGTACCATGAACTTCCGAGTAGGGTTGTAGGGCTTTTGAAGCCGAAGGTGTCTGTCTACATGCGAACATAGCAGTAATTAGCATAACATTTCGGATAGGGAGCTTAGGGCCTAGAATATCACGGTTTAGGGGCTTAGGGGTTTCGGGGTTTAGGGGTTTAGGGGTCTAGGGGGTTTCGGGGTTTAGGGGTTTGGGGGTTTACGGGTTTAGGGTTCTAGGGGTTTAAGGGGGGTTTAGGGCTTCGCGGATTTTGGAGTCAAGGTTTCAGGGAGCTTTAGAACATGCAAAGATCATGATCGGTACATGCGTGAGTCTCCAGTGCCCAGAGCAGGGTGCAGAGCTCTGTGACGCTGATTGGTGAAGAGGGCTTGGGCGTTGATATTTGGGATTCTGCGGTGTTGGGTGTATGGGTTGTAAGGAATGTTTAGGGTGCATACAAGTGTATTTTAGCTCTACACCCTAAAGCCCTGCACCTCTGAACCCGAAAACCCTAAACCCCAAGTCCACACCTTAAAACCCTGAACCCTAAACCCAGAAACCATGAGCCCTAAACCCCAAACCCTAAACCCCTGAACCCAAATTCCCTTCAGGTTGTGGGCGGGTTTAGCACCCTTGGGTCCGGACTATGGGCATGGGTGCAGCCAGTCCCTGCAGGCAGAGTTGGACGCAGTTCGCGCGCAACTGGGCCAGGCCGCACTCTTGTATGTTTGAGCGTTTAGGGTTTAGGGCTTAGGGTTTATTAGGGTATATATTTATTCTTGCACCCAAACTCTAAAGTTTGATGATCCCTGGATCCACTTTCAGCACCGGGGATTTGCATCCCATGATCAAGGGATGAAGACTCGAACCCCTAAGGTTGTACCCCTAAAGGTTCCCCTTACTACACTCCTAATCTGGCCCTCATATTCCCTTAGGGATCCTTAAAAAGGAGCCCCCAAAACCAAAGGGCGCAACCTTAAGGGGCCCAAGGGTCCGAAGACTTAGGGTTTAGGGTTTAGGGTTTAGGGTTTAGGGTTTAGGGTTTAGGGTTTAGGGTTTAGGGTTTAGGGTTTAGGGTTTAGGGTTTAGGGTTTAGGGTTTAGGGTTTAGGGACATGAATTGATCAGTGCCAGTCAGGTCACGCATCAGTTGGAGGAGGAGATCCGGGCAGAGTCTCAACGCAAGGCCAGCGCCCACCTCACCATGTCTAACCAATACCCCCCCCCCCATTTATACATGTATATATATATATATTTATTTATTTATACATATGTTTTTGTGTATTTATATTTATATTCATATTAATTTATATTTATATTTACATGTATATTTATTTATTCAAGTATGCGGTTATAATGAAATAAAGAAGAGGGGAAACTCTGAACCCCAACTAAACCCATAAACACCCCCACCCCCCCCCCCCCCACCCCCCAACCCCCAAATCAAAGTTTTGATGGCACTGTTCCCTGTTTTGAGTCTAGTTTCCCTTATACCAGACAGGGGCACTCTTACGCATTATAATATGGTTACCTAGAGACACAATGATAACCCTAAATCCTACGTCCCAAACCCTAGACCCTAAACCCTAAACCCTAAACCCTAAACCCTAAACCCTAAACCCTAAGCCAGAACAGGTGCAGGAGTCCCAGCACTTCGCCGTGCGCAGCCGGCTCGAGGGAGAAGTCCAGACTCTGAAGGCGGTGGACTTTTTAGGGGCTTAGGGTTTAGGGTTTAGGGTTTAGGGCTTCTGGTTTGGGGTTCGGGGTTTAGGGTCTATAGGGTTTAGGGTTTGGGGTTTAGGGTTTGGGGTTTAGGGTTTAGGGTTTGGGGTTTAGGGTCTATAGGGTTTAGGGTTTGGGGTTTAGTGTTTTGGGTTTAGGGTTTGTGGTTTAGGGTCTATAGGGTTTTGGGTTTGGGGTTTGAGGTTTAGGGTTTAGGGTTTGGGGTTTAGGGTCTACTTATAGGGTTTAGGGTTTGGGGTTTAGGGTTTAGGGTTTGGGGTTTAGGGTTTGGGGTTTGGGGTTTAGGGTCTATAGGGTTTAGGGTTTGGGGTTTGGGGTTGAGGGTTGAGGGTTTTTGGGCTTAGGGCTTGGAATTGAGGACTTGAGGTTGAGGATGTGGGTTTTAGGGCTTCGGCCTGAGTTCGGAGGATTTAGGGTATAAGTAGTACTGTTGGTCCGGGCGGGCCCTGAACTCTAAACACTAGCCCGCCTAAGAATAAAAACCCTAAGGCGTAGAACATCCCTGAAGCCAAGCGACCTAGAAGTCCCAGTGCATGTCCCTGCAGCTAGACCGGGTCTTTAGAAGTGTAGGGGAGGTCGCTGCACCTGCTCTGGCTTAGGGTTTAGGGTTTAGGGTCTGGACCGGGTCTGTAGAAGTGTAGGGGAGGTTGGAGTTTTTGCCGCTGCATCGAGAAGCATGAATGCCAAGATCCCTCCATGAACGTCCACAACTCCCATACTGGGGTAATATGATACACACAAGCTTCAACAAAGCTCCGACCCTAAACCCTAAACCCTATAAACCCTATAAACCCTATAAACCCTATAAACCCTATAAACCCTATAAACCCTATAAACCCTATAAACCCTATAAACCCTATAAACCCTATAAACCCTATAAACCCTATAAACCCTAAACCCTATAAACCCTATAAACCCTAAACCCTAAACCCCAAACCCTAAACCCTAAACCCTAAACCCTAAACCCTAAACCCTAAACCCTAAACCCTAAACCCTAAACCCTAAACCCTAAACCCCAAACCAGGCACGCGAGGAGGAGCTGCGCCAAGCACTGCGGCAGCGCGAGGCGGAGGCTGCGAACGCTGGGCGCCGCGTGGCCCAGGCGGTGGCTTTTGAAGTCTCATGGTACCTCTCCCTTGGGGTTCAGGGTTTAGGGTTTAGGGTTTAGGGTTTAGGGTTTAGGGTTTAGGGTTTAGGGTCGACCATGGGATGTTGTTTAAGGATGGTGCTTCTCACTTAGGGTCTAGGGTTTAGGCCTCAGGGTCTATACCATGGTATGTTGTTTAGAGCTGCTAGGGTGTTTTGGGCCACTGAGTGAGAAGTGCTTTGTTGCCGAACAGCCGCTGTCGGCCGAAATGAGGAGCCTTCGTCTTGGATCCAAAAAGGAAGGAGCCGCAAAACCCTCAACTCTTATCCAATCCTGCCTAAGTCCTCTTTGCGGCTTTGGGCTCAAAGTTCCCCAAAAGCACGTTGCTACTTTGAGCTTGTGCCTTCCTTTCGCCGCCATGTCGGTGCTGGTCATTGGCGCTGCTGGCGCCGTCGGCAAGCGTCTCATAGGGGCTTTGGCCGCGCGCGGCGAGCGCATTGTGGCAGTGGACAAGGCGCCAGCACTACCTGAGAGCATCCGGACGTTGGTGATGCATGCAGAGACCAACAAAGACGTCCCTTGGGGACCAAGTATGAACCCCTAAAATTGGGGTCATATACCTACACTACTAAGCTACTATAACCCCAATTAAAGTATATGAGCCATAAACCTTTTCGGGGCTCATTTCGTGCTTAAGGTCCGGGACTTCTACACGATGCAGCGCATCTTCCAGCGCCATCGCTTCGTCCACACCGTTTGGAACCTTGCGGCGCCCCTGTCAGTGGAAACAGCCAAGAACCTTACTTCTCCAACAGCTGAACTTTAAACTTTTTGGGTTCCCTTATTTAGTAGGAATAATAAAGTTTAACCTTTTTTCCCCTTGGTTATTGGAGAAGTAAGGAACCCTAAGATCGCAGAGCAGGTCACCATCAACGGCATGCGCAACGTGCTCTGGGCAATGTATGAGGCAAGAGTCAAGAAGATACTCTTTACAGATTCCATCGGCTCCTTTGGATCAACTGCCCCAAGAGAAGCTTGGGAGCTCAGTGGTGCCCTTATCCCTTTTTGTTTTTGGTTCTGGGTTCCTTCACAAAGTTTCTAGCTTAGAAAAGGGTGCCCTTATTAGAATATGGTTGCTGCGGTACCAAGGAAGAGTGCACAGCTCGATGGCTCACGGAACATCCTTTGCAGGACCCGGGCTCCGACTATGGCCGTCAGAAGCGCGGCGTGCGACGGCTGTTGCAGGAGTTCTGGAGATCAGGACTGGGGTAGGTTTTTGAACCTAATTCTACATGTTTATCGCCCTCAATCCCCTATCTTATTCCCTAGATATTGCCCATACTCCCTATATAATCCTTATGAAGCCATCAGTATGTTAAGCCCCTAAACCCTAAACTCCAAACCCCAAACCCCCAAACCCCAAACCCCAAACCCTAAACCCCAAACCCTAAACCCTAAACCCCAAACCCTAAACCCTAAACCCTAAACCCTAAACCCCAGAGGAGGTGACCCCCGCTGGGCCGTGCTGCCTGGCGTGTTGCACAGCGAGCCGACTTGGGGTCATGGCACCACAGAGCCTTGCTTCGATTTTAGGGTTTAGGGTTTAGGGTTTAGGGTTTAGGGTTTAGGGTTTAGGGTTTGGGGTTGGCTGAACTGAGTCTTACTTCTCCACCTTATTTAGTAGGATTCATAAAGTCTTCTCTAACAGCTGAACTTTAGACCATTTGGGTTTCCTTATTTAGTAGGAATCATAAAGTTTCCAACAGCTGAGCTTTAAACCTTTTGGGTTTCCTTATTTAGTAGCAATAATAAAGTTTCCAACAGCTGAGCTTTAAACCTTTTGGGTTTCCTTATTCAGCAAGGAATAATGAAGTCTAACATCTTTTTTCCCCTTGGTTGTTGGAGAAGTAAGGAGTATGCCTTGGAGGCATTGCTTGCTGCTGCCAACTGCTTATCTGGGAAGCAGGAGCCCTTCCGATGTCCCATCGAAACTTACTGTTAGTGAGTAGGGAATGACGGAATGAGGTGCCCTATATGTCCCTATATATACCCTTTAAGGGATTATATTGGCACCCTGTATCTCCCTATTATATACCCTTTAAGGGATTATATAGGGTACCTCATTCCCTCATTCCCTACTAACCAGCACTAAGGAAACGGATGTGCGAGTGCCAATGATCTATGTGGATGACCTCATCCGAGGTCTCCTCGCACTTCAGGATGCTCCGGAGTCCTCCCTCCAGGAGCCTGAGATAGGGTTCAGGATTTAGGATTTAGGGTAACCCCTACATATTTAGTCCCTACATACCTAAGTAGCTCCCCTAGATAACTCCTTAAGGTCCCTTACAAGGGTCCCTCCTTTGATCCCTTGATCATGATGGCGTGAGGAGCCCGAGCGTGGCTACGCCATCCCTGGGGTGTCCTTCACTGCAGAGGAACTCTTCAAGGAGATTCGCTTCCATGTGCCCAACTTCCAATATCAAGTGGAGCTTGATGCGAACATGAACACCTTTGCCAAGCTGTGGCCCGACAAATTGTCCACGGCCGAACCTTGGAGAGATCTGTCCTATGCGCCGAGCGTTGGATTTCGAGATATGGTCTTCAAGATTCTCATTGCTCATCGCGATCGCTTGTCAACTTGAGGATGCCGATGTGGCAAAGAATAATACGCTTGAGCGCATCCGCAAGGAGAACAGCGCCCTAAAGGCTCTCACGAGTTGCAACAAGGTAACAGCTCAAAAAATATGTATCTGCAGTCTTTTGTTGGTCGCTGGGTTGCGTTTGGGGAGCCTCTTTGTGTTGATGCTAGCTCGAATAGTCCTGCAGATGCCCCCAGGGAGTGTGCATGCAAGTAGGCAATCCGTGCGCTTGATTTGAGCACCGGTTTCGACTGGGAGCCCGACTGGAATCATGCTGTAGGCAGACTGGTATTTGGGGCCCTGTTTACTATGCGTTTATGTTGTGGGGGAGACGGGTCTGCCACTGCTTAAGATGGCATTTGCATCGTCTGAACGATGTTGAAGAGGTCATGAATAATGTATGGCGCTCTGCCGCACTCCTCTAAACCGAACCGATCCAGGCATATTCTTAATACGTGTTGGTATATCTTTTGGTTCTGACGGATCGGTTTTGGAGTGGACTTGCGTTGCGCAGCCGCCTTCAGTGAGTGGGGCTGGATATGGTCCTCTTGCGGGTATTCTTGACTCGGAGGCATCCTAACCTAGTGAATCCAGTCCCATTCTCTACTGGGCCAATGTAGATACATCTTGTATATAGCCAGTGTGGATACAGCTTGTATATACATGAGTCTGAACTTTTACCCTGAAGCTGTGCACAAGTTAGGCGAGGGAGGGAGCAAACAAAAAGTTAGTCCTGCCTCTCATGCTCCTTCTGTGATGCCCCAAAGCTGGAAACTCCCCATGAAATGGGGGGGGGGGAGGTATCGCATTGGGCTCCCAAACCCTGAACCCTGAACCCTAAACCCTAAACCCGTTGAGGAGGGTGTAGGGTTTAGGGTTTGCCTTTGAACCTCACAAAGTAGAGTTGGAGCCATCCATGGGCACTCCATGAAGCGCCATGTAGAGCACTGGATTCAGTCTTTACTCATGAGCAATCCTGAACCCTAAGCCCGAAACCCTAAACCCTAATGTAAACCCCAAACCCTGGACCCTAAAACCTAAACCCTAAAACCCTAAACCCTAAACCCTAGAGGACATAAGGCCCGAGCAAGACTTTTGGGCGGACACCTCTTCTTGGGATCTGCGACCCTCTGCAGGGTTTAGGGTTTAGGGTTTGGGGTTTGGAGTTTAGGGTTTAGGGTTTAAAGTATGCCACTATGAAGGTGACCGCTATATGGGCCAGAAACTTATCTTCAGGGTTCGTTTAGTCCCCAAGGCAGTCCACAAAGCCAACAGCCTTGGCGCGCATCTCCGGCAGGGGGATCCCTAAACCCTAACCCCTAAACCCTAATCCCTAAACCGGGGATTTGGGGAAGCGAGATCGCTCGAAGGCACCAAATTAAGAGGTTCAAGTTCGGGTGGTTGGGGTGAGATCCATGGGGTCGGGCCCACAGCGCGATGGAGAACCCTACGCCCTAAAACCCTAAACCCTAGCCATAAACCCTAAGCCCTCAGCCCTAAACCCTAAGCCCTAACCTTAAACCCTAAACCCTAAACCCTAAACCCTAAACCCTAAACCCCAAACCCTAAACCCTAAACCCTAAACCCTAAACCTAAACCCTAAACTAGACGCCCTTTACACCGACTCCGGAGGCGGAGGCGCGCCTGGAGGCCAAGGAAGCGGCTGCCATGGAGAGCGCCGCGGAGGCAGGGGTTTGGGGTTTGGGGTTTAGGGTTTAGGGTTTAGGGTTTAGGGTTTAGGGTTTAGGGTTTAGGGTTTAGGGTTTATTGTTTGGGGTTTAGGCTCTAGGGTTGAGGTGTTTAGGGTTGGAACAATTATTGATAGTATTCTTTCAGGGTGCCTTTGTAATTCTACTGTATACTCACCCCACCCCTAAAAACCCTGTTCTAATGACTAAGGCCCCTAGTTATAGGGTTTTGGGGTTGAGGGTTTAGGGTTGAGGCTTTAGGGGGTTTAGGGTTAAGGTTTTCGGGTCGAGGGTTTAAGGTTAAAGGTTTTTGGGTGGAGTGTATAGCGTTAAGGGTGAAGGTTTTCGGGTTAGGGGTGTCGGGTTTAGGGTTAAGGTTGTAGCGTTGAGGGTTTAGGGTTGTTGGATCGCGGCGGAGGCGCAGAAAACCCTGAGCCGGTTGTCGGAAGCTTGGACTTTCAGCGGTTGAGGGTCGGGTTTAGGGTTTAGGGTTTAGTGTTTAGGGTTTAGGGTTTAGGGTTTAGGGTTTAGGGTTTAGTTATTTTACTCTTTTCTGCGTAGGCCCTTGTGATTTCTTTTTTTGTTTTTTTTTTACATTTTCCTTTTTAGGTTCAAGAGGATTATGTCTAAGGTTTTAAGGGCCATCCTGCTCTTCGTTCTGCTGTCCGGGTGTAGGGCCTCTAGGGTTTTAGGACCCTAGCCCTAAACCCTAGCCCTAAACCCCAAACCCCAAAGCAGGGGTTCCCCTTTAATGGGTCCTCTGGGCACTGGGGCACCGAGGAAGTGGTGGAAGAGAGGGACCGGCTGCAAGCTGAGCTGGACGACTTGCATGTGGCTGGGCTAAGCCTAGGGGACGATATCTAGGCACCTGATTGATGGACAAATTTAGGGTTTAGGGTTTAGGGGTCAGGGGTTAGGGCTTAGGGTTTAGGGTTTAGGGTTTAGGGTTTAGGGTTTGAGGTTTAGGGTTTAGGGTTTAGGGTTTAGGGTTTGGGGTGTAGGCTTGAGCGCGACCAGGTCGGCGCGCAGCAGCTGCAGGCGGACAGCCGGCAGCAGAAGCAGCAGCTGCAGGCGAATCGTCATGCCATCGACTCTACGTCTGCCGAAGTACGGCGACTGCAGCAAGACACTTGCCTGGCCAACAGTCGACCATCAGGGTTTAGGGTTTAGGGTTTAGGGTTTAGGGTTTAGTTGTTTTTGTTTAGTTTTTTTTTTTTTTGGGGGGGGGGGGGGGGGTTCCTTGTCTTCCTACTTCGTAGGAGGCATGAAGCATATCCTCAGCATGAGCATATGATATGATCTATTCCCTGGTTGCTGCAGAAGCAACTAAACCCTCAACCCTCAACCCTAAACCCTAAACCCTCATCCCTAAACCCTAAACCCTAAAGGACAAGGATGAGCTGCAGTCGCAGCTTGAGAAGGCCAAGAGCAAGGCCTGCTCGCTGGAAATGGAGCAGCACCAGCAGAATCAGCGACTTGGGGGTGCTTGGTATGGGGTTTAGGGTTTAGGGTTGAGGGTTGAGGGTTGAGGGTTGAGGGTTTAGGGTTTAGGGTTTAGGGTTTAGGGTTTAGGGTTTAGGGTTTAGGGTTTAGGGCCCTTTTTCCGACACCAACCCTGAACCCCAAACCACTTTAATCCTGTGCTTGAACCCCCCTTTCTAAACCCTGATAACCCTAAACCCTAAACCCTAAACCCTTTTCCACAGCCCGTCAGTGAGGCGAAAGGAGCAACTCCAGGTGCAGCTCCGCACACGCGAGCAGGAGCTGGAGCATGCGCAGGCGGCTTTGCTCGAGCTCCAGGAGGCTAAGGGTCAGGCGGGGGAGGGCTCGAGGGGTCTTTTTTTGGGGAAGATATTCCTGCACCCCCAGTTTAGGGTTTAGGGTTGAGGGTTTAGGGTGAGATATTCCTACAACCCCAACCTTATGATGGCCTTTTTGCGTGTGTTAGGGTTTAGGGTTTAGGGTTTAGGATTTTGGGTTTAGGGTTTAGGGTTTTGGGTTTTGGGTTTAGGGTTTAGGGTTTAGGGTTGAAGCAGGTGGCAGAGGTGGCGCAGACGGAGAAGCGCTGTCGTGGGGAGCTTGAGGAGCACTTGGTGGCGAAGGCCCGTGAGGTGGACGAAGCCCGTGTGGCCTTGCAGAAGGCCCCTAGGACGGGTTTAGGTTTAGGGTTTAGGGTTTGGGGTTTGGGGTTTAGGGTTTGGGCTTTAGGGTTTAGGGTTTATGGTTCTCATAAACTCTTCTCAAACCCTTGGAGAATTTCTGGAACCCGTTTTCCACGTAGACATACTTATAGATCGCTTCTATCATCACACAAGCCTTGTAACCCGTAAGTTTTGAGGCCTTGCAAGTATTCCTAGAAACCCTAAACCCTAAACGCCTAAACCCTAAACCCTAAACCCTAAACCCTAAACCCTAAACCCGAACCCCAAGGTCCTCGAGGAGAATTCCCAACTGCAAAGTCACCTCGAAGCGGCCCACGAGAAAGCTTCCGGACTGGAGGCGCGGCTTTTCGTTCAAAAACCTGCGCCTTCAATTGTTTTGGAAGCTCCTAAACCCCTGTAGAGGGAGTGTTTAGGGTTCAGGGTTCAGGGTTCAGGTTTAGGGTTTAGGGTTTAGGGTTTAGGCTTTAGGGTTTAGGGTCTAGGGTTTAACGTCTAGGGAAGATGTCAGCATACACATACATGCATGAGCTATGTCCCCCCCAGACAGGCCGAAGCGAGATTTTCATAGGGTTTCCGGGTGTCCGTGTTTACTAAGGCTAAGGGGTATAAGGAGGGACCCTCAATCTTATTCCCCGACGTAACCCCATATATGAACCCTATTTAGCCCCTGTACGAGACCCTAAACAACCCCTAAAGAACCCCTAAGGTCCCTTGTAAGGGTCCCTCCTTTAGTCCCAGGTCCCTTGTATAAGGGTCCCTCCTTTAGTCCCTTGAGTTTAGGTTTGGCTTGTGGGGGGGGGAGGGGGCTGCTCCCCCCATCAGGAGCAAGTCCAGGGCCATGAAGACCGCTGCAGGGCGTTGGAGGCCCTTGCACCATGAAGAGGGTGAGTAGGGTTTGGGGTTTAGGGTTTAGGGTTTAGGTTTTAGGGTTTAGGGTTTAGGGTTTAGGGTTCAGGGTTTAGGGATTAGGGTTTAGGACCCAAAACCCCTAAACCCCCAAATGCCCCAAGCCGAAAGTTTAGGGTTTGAGAGCACTTCGGGTTAAGGGCCCAGTTTTTAGGATTTAGGTCTCAGAGTTTTTGTTGTGTAGTATCTGAATGGCTCTGGGTGGGTGGGTACTTCTCGGGCGCTTGAAAAGCTGCTAAACTAGTGGATGCTTGAACTTGAGATGCTGAGCCCTATAAACGCTGAACCCTAAACCCAAAACCCAAACCCCAAAACCCAAAACCCTAAACCCTAAACCCTAAACCCTAAACCCTAAACCCTAAACCCTAAACCCGAACCGAAAGCCAGGACGACTTGGGCGAAGCCAGGATCCAGCTGAGTGCCGCGGCCGCGCGCGAGGCGCAGCTTAAGGAGGCCATGGGACCCCCAAACGGGTTTAGGGTTTAGGGTTCAGGGTTCAGGGTTTAGGGTTTAGGGTTTAGGGTTTAGGGTTTAATTAGGGTTTAGGTTCCTCATTGCGATATGGTTCCTGGGCTACCAAAGTTGCTTTGAACCCAGGTAATTGGGCCCTTGGGATTTTTGTTTAACCTAGAGGTAGGCTTTTGGGATAGTTTGCGGTTTTCCCTTAATTGGGTTGAAGGAGAATCTTCAGGAAGCAGACGTTGCCAGTTAATCGAGCCTTCGCTGGGGTTCAGAGAGTTTGGGGAGCGGAGTTGGAGCTGTCCTGGGCTGGACAGACCCTGTCCTCCCCATTTCTCGACCTTAAGCCCCAAACCCCTAAACTCCCAAACTCCTAAACTCCTAGCTCCTCAACCCTAAACTCCTAAACCCGCTAAACTCCTAAGCCCTCAACCCTAAACTCCTACAGCCCCAAAACCCTAAACTCCTCAACTCCTCACCTAAACTCCTAAACCCTAAGCTCCAAACTCCTAGCTCAACCCCAGACTCCAAACCCCGAACCCGAAACTCCTAAACCCTAAACTCCTAAACCCTGAAACCTATACCGTAAACCCTGAACCCTAGACCCTAAACCCCAAACCCCGAACCCTAAATCCCAAACCCGAAACCCTAAACCCTAAATCCTAGACCCCAAACCCTAAACCCTAATCCCTAAACCCTAAACCCCAAACCCTAAACCCCAAACCCTAAACCCGAAACCCTAAACCCTAAACCCTTTCCTCAGGCCGCGGCCTCGGGGCGGTCTGAGGAGCAGGCCGAGCTTGCAGACGCCTGGGCGCAGAAGGAGCTCCTGGAGGCCCTTTAGGGTTAGGGTTTAGGGTTTAGGGTTAGGGTTTAGGGTTTAGGGTTTAGGGTTTAGGGTTTAGGGTTTAGGGTTTAGGGTTTAGGGTTTAGGGCTTAGGGCTTAGGGCTTAGGGTTGAATTAGGGTTTAGGGTGTAGGAGTTTAGGAGTTTAAGACTTTAGGAGTTTAGGAGTTTAGGGTTTAGGGGCTTAGGAGTTTAGGAGTTTAGGGTTTAGGAGTTTAGGAGTTTAGGAATTTAGGAATTTAGGAGTTTTGAAGTTAGGGTTTAGGGTTTAGAAGTTTAGAAGTTTAGGAGTTTAGGGTTTAGGGTTTAGGGTTCAGGGTTTATGGTTTAAGGGAATATCCCATAGCACCGCTCGTGCGACCTCATTTCCCTTTTTGGGGTTTAGGGTTCTAGGTCATGGGGGCCATCCTGGTCAACCTGCAATACGAATTCATACCTTGCATGGCTTCATGAGGTTGCCCTGGAGACGGAACCCTAAACGTTAAACCCGCAAACCCTAAACCCTAAGCCCCAAACCCTAAACCCGAAACCCTACGCCCCGAACCCTTACAGGGCTTCAGGCTACGGGCTCATAGGCCTAAGCCCCGAACCCCAAACCCTAAGCCCCAAACCCAGCCCTAAACCCCAACCCCAACACCCTAAACCCCAAGAGGGCAGGCTACAGGCTCACCCTGAACCCTAAACCCCAAACCCCAAACCCTGAACCCTAAACCCCAAACCCTAAACCCTAAACCCTAAACCCTTTTGCTGGTCGTGAAGAGGCTCAGCTGGCGGCGACCATCGCCCGGTTGGACGAGGAACAGGCAGAGCGCATCCGCCAAGGTGAGGCCGTGTTTAGGGTTTAGGTTTTAGAGTTTAGACTGTCAGACGAATCCCTAGAACTCCACAGTTCTGCTTGGGATTTGGGGTTGTGGCGGCCTGTTGCCGGGTTTAGGGTTTAGGGTTTAGGGTTTAGGGTTTAGGGTTTAGGGTTTAGGGTTTAGGGTTTAGGGTTTAGGGCCCGACACCAGCGGTGTTAGCTGCTCAGGTGCCCGGGCAGAAACTTTGGAGGGGGACTTGGCGGCACAACAGCGCATCTACTCGGAGCAGGCCTGGCTTCTTGCCACGTTTTAAGATGTAGGACCCGAAGTAATTTGGCCCTTGTTCCCTTTTTTGACCGTTTTTCCCAAGTTACTCTTGGGTCTAGGATGAGATTCAAATTTGGGGCGGAGGGGTCGGGGGGTGGGGGGCCCGAGAAACGGATTCTAGCATTCGCATCTTTAGGGGGTGCCCTTACAAAAAGCTCAACGTGTCACCTACTATGGTTGCTTGCGCCAAGCGTGTCTTTGTGCCTGTCGATCTTTGTTTGTGCGTGTTGATGTATGTTGAACTTTTCTGCCCCTAAAAACTAGGTACCCTCGTATGAGCATCAGTTGGCCAGTGCCAATATCACTACATCGTCAGAAGACCATATCAAGTTAGAATCGGAATTAGTACCACTTATTTGAATTATTTGGGTAGTGGTTTTTTTAAGACGGGCATTCAGGGTATGTACCACAAGCTCAGGGAGAGAACTGGCCACAGGCCATACACAGCTTGGCTTGCGATGACCGTTGTCCTTGTGTTTTGCATATGCCACGCCATGTTCTCGCGCTTCACTGGGGGAAGGATGCAAACAGCCAAGGGTCTGGAACCTCCGGGTAAACCCTAGACCCTACACGCTGATTATGCTGGTCACCGAAACCCGAAACCCGAGACCCTAAACCCCAAACCCCAAACCCCAAACCCTAAACCCTAAACCTTAAACCCCCCCTGTGGGCCCCCCCCCCCCCCCCCCCCCAAACTAAATCCACCCCCGCAATAATGTCCAAAAAAAAGGCCCCCCCCAAACTAATTTTCGGCCCCGGGCCCCCCCCACCGGCTCCTCTTCATTTCCTCTTCGCTCCTCTTCCCTCTCCTCTTCCGAAACCCATGCCCGAAAAACTTTTCATTATTGGAGGAGGGCAACCGAATTTTTGTCCCCTGAATATTTTTTTGAAAACTTTTCATTATTGGAGGGGTCCACACTAATCAGGAGACCACATTAAACCCTAAACCCTAAACCCTAAACCTCCACCCTGAACCCTAAACCCTCAACCCTAAACCCCAAACCCCTAAACCCCAGCACAGGCCTCGGCGGCACGGTGCAAGACGGTGGAGCGCTCCTGGCTCTCGCTGGTAGCAAGTGCTGCTGCGCACGTGCAGCTGGGACCTCCCCACTCCCACAGGGCCCATGGGTTTAGGGTTTAGGGTTCAGGGTTCAGGGTTTAGGGTTTAGGGTTTAGGGTTGGGGTTACAGTGTTACAGGTTGTGAGGGTTTTGGGGTTTGGGGTTTGGTATACGTCCTTGGTACTCGTACATGGGCGCTTTGGCACTCGAAACCTTCTTCCGCTTTTTCACTGTTTGTACTTATACAGGCCCCACGAAGCCCGCCACAACAGAAACTCCGGGCCCTGCCTAGGCAGGATATGGGCAGGCGCCGGGTGATGTCAGAGCTGATTGCGTCACGCCGAGAGGCCCTGAACCAAGCCAAGCGCCAGACCGAGCTGGCTGAGTTGTTGCAAGCTGAGCAGCAGAAGCTTGGCTTTCTTCTGGCTGGCTCTTAGGACTTTATAACCTCTTTTGGTTTTTTTATAGAAACTCTTAGGGCTTTAACTTTTTTTGTAGAAACTACACTAAGGAGCCAACAAATCTAACTTCTAGGATTTCTCAGAAGTCAGCGAAGGAAGTTGGCCCATGATGGTCAGCTTCAGAAGCACCAGGATGAGGATATGGCCTCCTGCATAAAGGAGAACGAGGAGCTGCGCGCCTGCAATCGCGAGCTGACCCTCTCCATGCAGCAGTTCAAGGAAGAGAAGCTTGGTAGGCTCTTGGGACATTGTTTCTTTTTTCCCTTATGGGGCTTAAGAGGGTCATATTGAGGAACCCTAAAGCCTAAACCCTAAACCCTAAACCCTAAGGGCCCTAGGAATGATCAGCTCCACGTCGACAACGGCAGCCTGTTGGAGAGCGTGGCCCTCTTCGAGGGTGACCTGGGCAAGGTCGCCGACCGACATGCGCAGCTCATCGGGCACGTGAACAAGAAGCAAAAGATCCGCTACACCGTGAAGCTCAAGGAACTACGATTTGCTTAGGTGCCCCCCTGAAAAAACACGGAAAAGTAGTCCTTTATATGGCTCTGGTAAGGAAGGATCTTTTCATTTTGGCCCTTTTTAAGGAACTGCTTGTTCCTATGTATTTTGGGTTCTTAAACCCTAAACCCTACGCCCTAACCCTAAACCCGAAACCCTAAACCCTGAAACAAATCGTCGAGGAGGAGTGTGCGCAGCTACGCTTGGACTTGAACAAGGCCCGCCACAAGCTGATGCAGCTGGAAGGCAGCCGCAGAAGCGATAGCCTGCACTTCGGCTTATTGTTAGGGTTTTAGGGTTTAGGGTTTAGGGTTTAGGGTTTGGGGTTTGGGGTTTGGGGTTTGGGCTTTAGGGTTTCGGGTTTATGGTTACTAGGGGTATTGAAGGAACTCAAGGGCTTATATAGGGGGGATATACGGTGCCCTATAGCAGTCTAGAATCCTTTTTACACGCGGGGGATACGAGGTATCCCATTGAATCCTTTTGAAAGGTTTCATAGGGGGACATAAGCCCCCCGTAAACCCTGTAAGCCCCGCAACACCCTCTAAGCCCTAGAAGCCCTGCAGACCTCGAAGCCCTCACCCCTAAACCCTAAACCCCAAACCCTAAACCCGAACCCCTAAACCCTAAACCCTCAACCTCGATGCCCTCCAACCTCAAGGTACGGAGCCCTCGCTTCCTTGGGCTACTCGCCCGTCCCCGCCATCACCTCGTCGCCGCAGCCGAAGCCGAGAGGACAGGACCAAAGCCCAGCGAGCCCCCCGCAGAAGCTTGGCTAACGGCCCAGCCTTACTTAAGGAAGTAAACCCTAAACCCTATTATTGTTTAAGGAATATTCCTTAATTAAGGGGTATTGGAGTCCCTGGGGGTTTGGGGTTTAGGGTTAGGTCTAGGCTTTAGGGCCTCGGGTTTTGGGATCTGCGTTTGCGGGTTTGGGGTTTGGGGCAGGGTTTCGGATTTAGGGGCGTAGTAGATCGGCCTGTTTACTTATCTAGCTTTGTAGTCGAATAGTCTAGTATCAGGGTCTTAAGTACAGAGTATTGGTCACGAAGGCTCCTGTATTGCCATCCCTGGGATAAAAACCCTAGCTTTCCTAGAGAGAGAGTAGGTTCATACATAACGCGGGCTCCTCTGTCGGCTCCAATTATACTGTACTGGAACCCATTGGTAGCATATGGGGGATCCTCCAAATTAGGGTCCCTTTAGGGGTTACCATTCTCTGGCGGCCCCTATGATGTAGGGTACCCAGAAAGGGACCATGATTTTGAGAAAACCTGTACAGTTTGGAGAGCTGACAATGACTGGGAGGCTTCCTAGGGCACATAGGCGAAGTGCTGCAGGCCACAGAACTTTACGTATGTTCAGCGTTGAGGCTTTGCCTAGAGTAATCCTTCACTTTAGAACATGGGGGGGGGATAAATCGACAGTGCTTTAGGACATAAGCCATCGAGTGTTGAGATTTTCTGAAGTCCTCCAGCTCGACTCGTATAGCCCCAGCCTTCTTAGCCTTACACCCGAGGTCCAACAAAGCCCTAAACACTGTAACCCTAAACCCTAGACCCTAAATCCCTAAACCCTAAGCTTTAAACCAAAAAAGCGAACCCTCACACTCAGAGAAAAAACCTTAGCTAACTCCCCTTCAAACCCTGAAACCCTTACTGTAGAAACTGCCCAACCCACTTATAGGCCTCCCAAATGGTTGCCCTAAAACCTAAACCCTAAAACCCTAAAACCCTAAAACCCTAAAACCCTAAAACCCTAAAACCCTAAACTCTAAACCCTAATCCTAAAACCCCAAACCCGAATTCCAAAGCCCTTACTAAACCCTACAAGCCCTAAACTCTAAAACCCCAAACCCCAAACCCCAAACCCCAAACCCCAAACCCCAAACCCCAAACCCCAAACCCCAAACCCCAAACCCCAAACCCCAAACCCCAAACCCCAACCCCAAACCCCCAACCCCAAACCCCAAACCCCAAACCCCAAACCCCAAACCCCAAACCCCAAACCCCAAACCCCAAACCCTAAACCCTAAACCCTAAACCCTAAACCCTAAACCCTAAACCCTAAACCCTAAACCCTAAACCCTAAACCCGAAGCTGAGGCAGCTCCCGCCACCCACGCGCGTGAGCCCCAAAGGAGCTCCAGCCCGGCCCGAGGAGGCGCAACATCTCGGGATCTTCGGGTTTAGGGTTTAGGGTTTAGGGTTTAGGGTTTAGGGTTTCGGAGGGTTCAGGGTGTAGGGTTTAGGGCTCAGGGTTCAGGATTTCGGAGGGTTTAGGGTGTAGGGCTTGGGGTTCAGGATTTGGGGTTCGTGGTTTGGATTAGGGTTTGGTGTTCAGGGTTTAGAGTTCTGGGTTCAGGGCTTAGGGGGTTTAGGGTTTGGCTGATCCTCCGATTTCATTCTTAAGGGGTGCCTTCATGCGCTAAACACCTCATGAGAGGCTTCGGCTTTTCGTTTGTTTTTTGGGATTCGGGGCATAGGGTGGAGGGTTAGGGTCCAGGGTTTTAGGATGTTAGGATGGTAGGGAGTTGGCAGGAGTTGTGGGTTCGGGTCTGGCCCCAGCCCCCCAGCCCCCCCGCCACCAACCCGCAAGTAGCCTTGTAACAACAAACTCAAAGGGTCCATGTACCTCTGTAGTAGATACTTGGGCCTTAAAGGGGTTCCTTTCTAGTAGCTTTAGGGGCCAAGTATATACTATATAGGTACATGGATCCTTAGGGAAAGGTCGCTGGGTAGCTTGACTACAAGCTAAGCCCGAAGCCCGACATGTAACTTAGTGGATGCTGATGCAGCTATTTACAAGCATAAATGTACAAACTACTCAATAGCCCACTAGGTATCCTTCTAGGTTTTTTGGGCAAAGCTGAAACCCAACAAGACGTGGAAGTTGAAACCCGCTTGGCGGCCAAGGTCCCGGACACCTGACGTTTAGGGTTTAGGTTTATAGTTTATAGTTTAGGGTTTAGGGTTTAGGATTGGGGTTCCTTTCGGCTTAGGCTTACATTCTTGTTTCCTCCGTTCGGCTTGTCTACGACGCTTCGAAGCTATCTTTGCTGCCTCTGGGTTGTGGGTAATTTGGCTCAGGGTTCTTCTGCGGTTTTTTTGGGGGGTCTCCACTGCGATAGCCACCCTAAGCATTAAACCCTAACGTTTAGGGTTTAGGGTTTTGGGTTTAGGGCTTAGGGCTTAGGGCTTAGGGTTTAGGACTAAACCCAAGGCCTAAACCCCAAGCCACATCCTGCAAGCACAAGCCCGGAGGCTCAGAGGCGACTGCGACTTCAGGAGTGTGCTTTGGAGCGGGCCCCTGCCTCAGACGCCACTTCTCTTTCGATTGAAGGGCTTTAGGGCTTTAGGCATTGTAGGGTTTTTTAGGGTTTTTTTTAGGGCTTTTGGGGTTTTCAGGGTTTTCAGGGTTTTTAGGGTTTTTAGGGTTTAGAGGGTTTAGAGGGTTTGGAGGGTTTAGAGGGTTTAGCGGGTTTGTGAGTCTTGGGGCGGCTGCTTTACGTCCTTGTCTTCAAAAAGTGGGGGGGCGCTGGCTGGCCTCACTCAAGTTTTTTGTTCCGTAGCTTCGAACCAAGAAGCCGAAGGACTCTTTAGGGTGTTGGGTTCAGGGTTAAGGATTTGGGGGTTTCGGTTTTTTGGGTGTAGGGTTTAAGATTTTGGGGGTTTCGGTTTTAGGGTTTGGGGTTTATGTTTTAGGGTTTAGAGCCTTTAGGGGTTAGTCAGGAATGGGAGACTCGCAACACGAAATTGACGTCGGACACATCCTGCACGGATCCTTACGGGTCTTGTTGAGCTGAGGGCCTTGATTGTGGGCGTCCGCCAAACAGCAACAAAGGGGTAAGTATTCTTGGGTTACTACAACAAGGATTCTCGTACGTCCGCCCCTTATGATTCAAGGAAGTTCTCAAGTAGGTCAGAAGCCCACCACCAGAACCAGAACTTGAACTTGCAACCTTTGCACCCTGAAGCCTAAAACCCTAGATATGCAAGGCCAAGCCGCCACACAGCCACAAAAGCCGGAGACGCCTTTGATCCATCGACCTCAACCCCCCTAAACTCTGCAAACCATAAGCCCGAAGCCCTGAGGCTTTGCGGGTGAGCCCCAGCCATCCCAAACACCCGGAAACCTGTCGACATCCTAAACCCGGTTAAACCGCCCTAAACACAAACATCCCCCAAAAAGCCCACCTAAACCCTAAAGCCTAACCCTAAACCCTAAACCCTAAACCCTAAACCCTAAACCCTACACCCAGGTCAACTCTGATTTCCGGCACCTGCTCACCCTGGTGCAGCGCGTGATCGGCCGAAGCACTGACGAGCGCAAGGAGACGTCGGGTTCAACTGAAGGTTTAGGGTTTAGGGTTTAGGGTTTAGGGTTTAGGGTTTAGGGTTTAGGGTTTAGGGTTTAGGGCTGCTAACCCTAAGGGTCCATGTACCTATGTAGTCTATGCTTGGGCCTTAAAGGGGTTCCCATGTAGTATAGTAACTTTGGGGGCCCGAGTCGATGCCATATAGGTACATGGACCCAAGGGTAACACCTGGAACACCAGTGCTTTCAAAGCCTGAAACGGCTTCATGACCCTAAACCCTAAACCCTAAACCCTAAACCCTAAACCCTAAACCCTAAACCCTAAACCCTAAACCCTAAGGCCCTGTATGGGAGAACAGCCCCCTGCAGCCTGATTCAAGCTTTTCCAGGTTTCGGGTTTCGGCGAACACGGCAAATTCCCAGAAAATGGGATCTCCCCGCCCGAGTTCAGAAATCTAGCATCGTCCCCCTTGTAAAAAGACAGGAGACGACAAAATGGAACTCCAACCCTAAACCCTCTTACTGGTTCTAGGAGAAAACGAGAGAATTCGGTTCTCCATGTAATCCCTACTTAAAGGCCTGCTGCTGCCCCCCATGGATCATCGAGTCATCCCAGAGGTCAAAACACATTTCAAGAGCTTTCGGGTTGAGGGTGTTAGGGTGTTAGGGTGTTAGGGTGTTAGGGTGTTAGGGTTTAGGGTTTGGGGTTTAGGGTTTAGGGTTTTAGGTTTAGGGTTTAGGGTGTAGGGTTGAGGGTGTTAGGGTTGAGGGTTGAGGGTTGAGGGTTTTAGTGTGTTAGCGTTTAGGGCGCTGGGCTTTGGGTTCAGATTCATCTAGCCCAGGCTGGGTGCGCGCACTTTAGCGTTTAGGGTTTAGGGTTTAGGGTTCCAACCTTGGGCCAGCTTAGGCTTTCGGAAGGTTGCTCTTTGCATCGCCAAATATCGTAGAGCAACAAGAAAAAAAGGGGTTTCTGAGGGAAAGCATCCCTAAACCCTAAACCCGAAGCCCTAAACCCGAAGCCCTAAACCCTAAACGCTAAACCCTAAACCCTAAACCCTAAACCCTAAACCCTAAACCCTAAACCCTAAACCTTGCATGCCTGAGGAGATCAACTTCGCCGACTTGCTCCAAGACCTGCGACAGGTCATGGCAGCCCAGGCTCACCAGAGCGTTGGCAGCCGGATGCTGTGCCCCTGTTAGGGTTTAGGGTTTAGGGTTTAGGGTTTAGGGTTTAGGGTTTAGGGTTTAGGGTTTAGGGTTTAGGGTTTAGGGTTTAGGGTTTAGGGGTTGAGGTTCAGGGGCCCCCAGGGCTCTTAGGTCTTCAATGAATGGGCTTGTTGAACTGCGTCTTGAAGGGCTTTATCAGAACCAAAACAGTCCTATAAGGGGGGGTTGACCTTTCTTTAGGCTGTAGTGTCTCTTTGGCTTCACTGATTAGGGACATGTTTTTTTGCGTCATTTGTTCAATCGTCCCGACTCTACGAAGACGAAGAGAAGCCTTTTCAGATTTGCTGGTTGCGAGCCCGAGAACGACAGCCAGTCAAGTCCTGTGCCCCTCCAAGGAGTGGCCGCCTAAGCCCTAAACCCTAAACCCTAAACCCTAAACCCTAAACCCTAAACCCTAAACCCTAAACCCTAAACCCTAAACCCTAAACCCTAAACCCTAAACCCATACGAACTAGGCCTAAGGGACCTTCAACCTATTCTAGAGACTAGGGCTACCCCTTCTTACAACATGCACCCATGGGGCTGTCGGCTTGCCGACCTCACGGAATGGAATTCCATGTCAAACTGTAGACCCCTAACCCCTATAGACCCCCAATCCCCCAACCCTTAAACCCCAAACCCTAAACCCTAAACCCCAAACCCCAAACCCTAAACCCTAAACCCCAAACCCTAAACCCTAAACCCTCAACCGCAGGGTGGCAACCACAGGTTGACTGAAAGAAACATACAGTGCAAGGAGGGAAGTGGAAGTCACTACCTTAAGGACCACATGAACCCCAAAAGGGGTTAGGGTTCATTTACACTCTAGTAGGGATTTAGGGTTTAGGGTTGAGGGTTGAGGGTTTAGGGTTTAGGGTTTAGGGTTTAGGGGACAGTAGTATTGGGTATATGGACCCAACTTTAGGGCTCATTTGGTCCTTAAGGTATGGGTCGCATCCTTGGTGTGGATGCAGCTACGAATGATGCCCTAAGCAGCCCTGCACATCGCTGTCGCAGCCGGCACCCTGAAAAGATATAGGGGTTTCCGAGAACAAGGGACCCCCGATATAGACCCCCAACTTAGAAAGACTCCCTTAGAGTCAGGACCCCGATAAGGTACCCCGCTAATTTCGGCAACACCCATAGCGGTGCGCCATCCTAGGACGGATGCCAGCTCTGTCAAGAAGGAGCCAAAGGAGGCGAAGGAGCCGTCGACACCACGAGCGCGAGATAGCTTGGCTTCGCCCCTGAGCCTCCGCCTGAGCTCACAGCCACCGGCGTCAGAGGAGCCACGTCCAGTGCAGGACCGGGAGTAGGCCCTTTTGTCCTTTTTTTAGGGTTGGGGTTCCCTTATAATCCCCTTAAAACCAAGAAGGGCACCCTTTTTATTCCTATATTACTCCCGGGTCTAGTTGCCCTGTTTCTTACTGGCTCGTAAATCGGAAGTTTTGGGAATTCGGTTACCTACATCGCAGGAACCCCGTTGTTTAGGGCTGAAGGTTCAAGGTCAAGGTCGACATCTAGCTGCATTTTGAGGCTTAGCCTAGGGTCCGTTGCAAGCAAAAGATCCAAAGCCTGTTTTTTGTATAGGTGACTCCTCCGGCGCCCTTTTTGTTGAAGGACTTAGGCTCACCTTAGCCACCAGAAAAAGTTCGCAGTATCGTCTTGGACTCCCAGGGCAGTTCGATGCTCCCTTTGGCCCCTGGCCTTCTTGCAAGGGTTCCCCGATCCAGGGGCCATAGTAAGGGGCCATGTACCCGAACTCTAAACCCTAAGCCCTGAACCCCATACGCGGAACCCCAAACCCTAAACCCTAAACCCTAAACCCTAAACCCTAAACTACCCCTACAAAAGGACAAGGAGAACCAGCTGAACGTCCAGAACCAGACTGAGGGCGAGATGGGCAGAGCCGCCACACCCGAGACTCACGAGGCGCTCCAAGTTGGGTTTTTGGGTGTTGAGGGTTTAGGGCTAGGGTTTAGGGTTTAGGGTTTAGGGTTTAGGGTTTAGGGTTTAGGGTTTAGGGGTTTAGGGGTTTAGGGGTTTAGGGGTTTAGGGGTTTAGGGGTTTAGGGGTTTAGGGGTTTAGGGGTTTAGGGGTTTAGGGGTTTAGGGGTTTAGGGGTTTAGGGGTTTAGGGTTTAGGGCTAGGGTGTTGAGGGTTTAGAGGTTTTCGGGCATTTTTCGGGCTTTGGTAATGTTGGGGTTTTACGTCTTTCCGCTTCAAGCTGATTGCAAGAAACCCTTCCTCTTAAGCCCCAAGCCCCAAACCCTAAACCCTACGGCCAAAAACCCCTGAAGCCCCTTAAGGCGGTGAGGAAGGGTGGCCCTAAACCCGAAACCCTAAACCCTGAAACCCTGAAGCCCCTTCAGGCGGTGAGGAAGGTGATGAAGCAGATCAACTTCGCCCTCAGCTTTGGTGCGCGCAAGCTCTACGGCCGCCCCATCCAAGATGCGCGCAGCTTCTTCGAAGCCTTGGACCGACCCTGAGCCTGCCATCAGGGGTTTAGGGTTTAGGGTTTAGGGTTTAGGGTTTGGGCGGGAAGTTAGGGTTTAGGGTTTTAGTCTTTCGGGCCTTTAGCGTTTTGGAGTTTTCGGATTTAGGGCCTTTGGGTTTAGGGATTGTGGCTTGGGGCTTTGAAATTACCCTTTACTCTCCCTCCCCCCCCTCAACGCTGATCAAGAAGGGCCTTTCACCCCGTGACTTTACGGTCACGGCCCATAAGACCAAAACCCTAAACCCGAAACCCTAAACCCGAAACCCTAAACCCTGAACCCTAAACCCTAAACCCTATAAACCCTAAACTCTAAACCCTAAACCCTACCCCCAAACCCTCGACCCGGACGCCGCCTCAGGACACGGAAACGGCGCGCTGGAGCGCAAGGACATCGCACAGGGCTGCTCTGGCTCAGGGTTTAGGGTTTAGGGTTTAGGGTTTTGGGCTGCCGGAGTGGCCTTGGTCCGCTAAGCCCTTAAGCCCAACAAAAACAATTTCCCGAGAACCCTAAAAGCCCTAAACCCTAAAACCGTAAATTTCAACCCGTAAATCCTGAACCCTATACCACTGCCGCTTTTCCTAATATAGGGGTCGGAAGAATTACGAATAATACTCCCTTAGGGTCCCTATACATAACTATACTATGAAACCCCCCCTCCCCCCTCCCCCTCAAAAAACAACTATTCTAATTATTCGGGCTCCTACACTAGATGCCTGCCGTGCCCAGGCTTCAAGCGCCTCGACATCGTGCTGCCTGTGAACACCTTGGAGCTGCTCGTGAAAACGGTTGACGCTGAGACGAATGCTTAGGGTTTAGGGTTTAGGGTTTAGGGTTTAGGGTTTAGGGTTTAGGGTTTAGTGTTTAGGGTTCAGGGTTCAGGGTTTCGGGTTTAGGGGTTCGGGTTTAGTTTTGGGGTTCGGGTGTAGGCGAATTGGAGTGAGAATTTGGGCTACAGGACGCAGCAAGCGGAAGCGGAAGGCTTAAGATGTTGGTGCTGTTGATGTTTTGCTTGGTTTGGTTGTTTGGTTGGTAAGTTGGCCCTAAACCCTCAAGCCGGCACCTATATACACCCGTTGTTTGGTTGGTAAGTTGGCCCTAAACCCTCAAGCCGACACCTACACCCGAAACCCGAAACCTGTGACTCTGTCTCTGTCTCTGTCGATCCGTCTGCGGGTGTGCTTTCCCATTGACGCTGGGCCACAGACCTCAGCCGAGCCGATAACGGTACTTCCCCAAAATAGGGGTACCCGATCCATCCCTCAGATAGACTAGAATCCTTTGGGACGTCGCCCCTTATACTAACAGTCCTTAATGGGGATGATAGTACCCCTATTTATAATCCCGATGAAGGATGAACATCCCAAAGAATCCCCCTGAAAAAATGAACCCCCCCCCCCCCCCCCAAAAGGGTACCCCTATGTTCGGAAACCCTCTAAACCCCTAAACCCAAAACCCTAGACCCTAAACCCTAAACCCTAAGCCCTAAGCCCTAAACCCTACACCCTAAACCCTAAACCCTAAACCCTAAACCCTACCCATATGACCCGACCCAGCTACCAAGGATCAGGATGCCAATGGGCTCATGTCTGTGGAGGAGCTGCTCAAGGACTCTTAGGATTTGGTGTTTAGGTTTAAGGTTCAGGGTTTAGGGATTAGGGTTTAGGGCTTAGGGTTTAGGGTTTGCGAATAATCTAGTCCCCCAAATAGCAGGCTTCCCTTAAAGATAAGGGACCCCGATAAGGTACCCCCAATTTGAGAGAAACCCCCGAATTAGGGCTCGGGGTTTATAGGGTTTAGGGTTTCGGGCACCTGCTCCCTTTCTGTGCTTCGGGTTTTGCTGTTTGCTTTTTTGTGTGCTGCCCTGGACAAATGCTATAGAAATCCTAAAGCCCCCAAAGCCCGATACCTGAAAAAGAAGAAGGACACGCTAAATTAGAACGCCCCTAAACTCCAAAAATCCTGAAACCTAAAAGCCCTAAGCGCTAAAAACCCTAGGCCCTAAGCCCTTAGCCCTGAGCCCTGAAGCCCTAATCCCTTCCATATCAAACCCCGAACCTCAAACCCTCAAATCCTCAAACCCTAAACCCTAAAGACCCTATAACCCAATAAGCAGCCCAAGCAGGCACTGGAGCGCTCCGAGCGCCTGGCAGCAAAGAGTGAGGGCGTCTCGGTTCCTCCGCTTCCGCGCAAGCGGCTTTATTAGGGATTAGGGTCTTGGGTTTTTAGGGTTTAGGTTTAGGGTTTTGGGTCTAGGATTTGTCCCGAGGGCTTGAGGGTTTTGAGGTTTGTTGTTGGGGGTTTAAGCCCTAAACCCTGCACCGTAAACCCTAAAACCCTTGAAGTTTTCGGGTTTGGGGTTCAGGGTTTCGGGTTTAGGTTTGTTTGGGGCAGAGCTTTCAGGCTTATAGGGTTTCAGTCTTAGAAATTGTCTGGTGAAATCCACGAATTTCAAGTTCACAGGCATCATGAGTAAGGTGGTTCGGGTGTAAGGGTTTCCCAGAAGTCGGGTGTTCAGGTTCAAGTACCAGGGCCGCGGCTACAGGCCCTGGAATGTTTTGGCGCCTTGGGGTAAATTAGGGTGTATAGGATGTAGGGCTTTACAGGGTTGAGGGTTGTTATGGTTAAGGGCTTTTCAGGGTTTAGGTTTTGGGGGGGTTCGACGTTCGAAGGGTTTAGGGTAAATAGCGTTTGCAGGGTTTGTGTTTTAGCGTTTTTGTGCCTATAGGGTTTCGGGTTCGTAGGGTTCAGGGCAGTTTTTAAGGTTTAGGGAAATTGCTTTCAGCATGTAGACTGGCCCAAAAACCCATTGTCCTTGGTTTCAGAATCTTCGGGTGTCCCTGAAACCCTAAACCCTAAACCCTAAACCTTAACGCCTGCGGAGCGATGCGGCAAGACTGTGACTGTGGCTCCAGGAGAGCTTTGAAGTTCGATCCTTGCAGAGCCAACTAATCCCTAAGCCCCGAAAGCCCTCAAGACTTTAAACCCTAAACCTCTGCAAGCCCTATAGATCCTATGATTCCCTAGAAGCCCTGTAATCCCCTACAACCCCTCTAAACCCCCCCAAGGACACTATAGAACCCCTACAAACCCTATAAACCCCTCTAAACGCCTGCCAGCCCCAGAAACTGCCCCGGAAGGCTCCCTTACATTTCTGGGTATCTGAGATTAAGAACTAACTTGTACTTGCCTCAGAACCAGCCCAGAAAATGAAAGAATATTCTTCCGTATACAGGCAATATCAAGACTTTTTTTTTTGAAGGGGAGGGCTCTCAAACAAATAGTAGAAATTTGGGCTTCGCGCGCTTCAAAGGGGTTTGCCGCTATTCAGTCGCAGCACTACTCGACGGGGTCTAGTATAGAGGGTTTTTTAGACCATAAGGTTTACAGGGCTGAGAGTTGGGTGCATAGGATTTAGGGTTTAATTATGGGGTTGGGTTTCTCGGGTTTTGGGGTTGCGTCTGGCTAGGAAAGATGGGTTCGCGGACCGTAAAGCCTTAACAATTCCTGAAGCCAAGTTTGCCGCATGTGTCGGCTTGTAAATTCAAGAGCCTGTTCTTTACATATGGGTCGCAACTTGCACACTCAGATCTCACTGAGTTGCCATATTGTCTGGTTCGATTTGCAGTAGAACTGTCGTCAAGCAGCGCCCACAATTCACGCTGCATGCCTGTGCAAAATTCGTTCCTTAATTCGAGAACACATGCGCAAGGGCACCCGATCCCGGAAAATCAGGATCTCCTAGCTGCTGAGAATCCCGAATTCAGCCTACTTGTGGTTAGACGATGTAGGATGTCTCAATCGCCTGCCTGCATCTATCAGCTGCTACTGTAGCACTGCACCGTGGTTCATCTTGCTTGTTCGGGAAGGTAAAACCTCGTGGCCCTACCCTCCCCAGTGCATTATATACATATAGCGCCTTGAAGGTTTGAAAGCGGGTCATGAGCCTTCCGAAGTAGGTTTGTTTGCTTAATTGTTTCAGGTATAAGGATACTGGTCTTCTCTCGATGCACACCCAAGCCCTAAAATCCTAAACCGTAAACAGCCTGGTAGGATTCATGGGGTATGCAGGGGCTTAGGGTTTTTGGCGGCCCCAGAAAGTTCGTCTGTCGTGATGATGAAGAAGAAGCCTGCCTGGACCTGCACTTTTTTTTGGGGGGGGGCGGGGGGTGGGCGGGGGGGTGGGCCGGGGGTGGGTGGGGGGTGGGCGGGGTGGGCGGGGTGGGTGGGGGGTTGGGAGGGGGGGAGGGGGGGGTTGTGGCCCAAACCCTCACCCCAATCTGAACCCTGAACCCTTTTTCAACCTACCTTGGCATGCCGCAGAGGTCCTAGCGAGATTCCGATCCTCTGAGATTTATTGCAGCGGCTTGCCTTATAAAGGGTTTAGGGGTGTGAAGCATCTTGCGGCAGAGTAAATTAGGGCATTAGGGTTTTTTCAGGAGTTGTAGGGCTTTCAGGGCCTTTAGGGTTTTCAGGGCCTTTGGGTTTTTGGGGTTTAGTTGTTTTTTTTCAAAATGGGGGACTGTGGGCGTGCACTTTCTCTGCCTTTTGTCGCTGTTGAAGAACCAAAAAAACCCAAGTGACAACAATATTTCTAGGCTCTCCAGTCCCACGGATAACAAAAAAACTAAAGAAGAACAATATTTCATGACTCTCCACCAAAACCGTACGGAAAATCCGTACGGAAAATCAAAAAAAACCCAAAAAACCAAAAGAACCAAAAAAACCAAAAAAAACAAAAGAACCAAAAAAACCAATATTTCAGGACTCTTCCAGCAGATGGCCTAATTTCGAAGAGTCCCTGAAAATTGTTTTTTTTGTTTTTTTTGTTTTTTTTTGGTTTTTTTGGTTTTTTGGTTTTCCGTACAGATTTGGTGGAAAGTCCTGAAATATTGTCGTTTCTTGGTTTTCCGTGAGAATGTTGTGGAGAATCCTGAAATATATTTGTTTGGCTTTCATGTTCTTTTTGCTAAATTTAGCTTTTTGTGTGTTTTTGTGCGTTTGTGGCTTTGTTGTGCTTTTCCGTACTGCCTGAGCCCCCCTTCTCTCTAAGAAAATTGTGCTTTTCTACGCTTCTCTTTGCAAATTGTACTTTTCTGTGCATCGTACACTTAAAGAGTACTGTATTTAATGGGTACATGAATAATTTAGTTTCATATTCAAGTAGCATGTAAAGAGCGTTTGAGCATTCTGCCCCCAAACCCCGCATTCCCATGCTCAGTGCTATAGCCTTTACTGGGTGGATGGTATGGTTCTTAGGAATTTGTGCTTTTCAAGGCTTTTCTATGTAAATTGTACTTGTCAAAGCGAATAGTATATAAATGGTATTTCATTAGTACGTAATTGAATTAGTTTTCTGTAGTCAAGTACCATTTACTGAGCATTATGTCATATTCTGTGTATATTTAGTAAATCTTGTACTCACCCAATAATTGAGTATTCACTGACTGCTAGATTGGTCGAATCAACATGTAATGAGTACTGCATGGTTGAGCAATATTTTGCCTAGTAGAAGCAATATTTGTCTGGAAACAGGTTTGTTGCCTAGAGTTATTTGCTTAAACAGTTGCTTTACTTATTTAGAGAGACTTTAAAACCCTCAAATCCAAACTTCACCAGAGGTTCTCCTGAAAAGCTTGCATTTCGGGGTGTTTTTTGCGTTTGTGAATTTACTTGTGCTATGACCTTTGTGAGGCAACAACTACTTTACTATGAGAATTGTGTATTTTAAAGCCTGTCTCTTTTCAGGCATCGCGCATCAGTAGTCTTTAACTAGTACTTCAGTAGCATTGGTTTCATTATTATGAAACTCAAGGTGTCTAGTGCGTATTGAGTTGTACAAAAAACAACCTTCTAAGTTGAATTCATTTAGTCAATATTCAGCTATATACTAAGTGCTGCAGTAGTTAAACTCGCATAGGGCGAATGCTTTGTATAATATACATTCATGCATAAAAAACAAAGTACTTCAGCGGACTTTCCGTACGGCATTTGATTAATACTTTGCCTTGCGAAACTACAATTTATCCAATAAAACAACATTCTTTGCCATTCGAAAGAACAAGCTGCCAAAATAAATTAACACATACAAACTACAAAGCCAGCATTGTCCTGTCAAGATTCAAAACATGGAGTAGCCCAAAGCTGGCTTATCGGAGCCTGTGAGGCGGGTGTCCCAATTGTCCCAATAGCTGTCCTTCATTTCCCGGTGCTCAAATATGCGATTTTAGGATTCGTTGTTCTGACGATACTAAGAAAAGCTGAAGCAAGGGTAGGTCGTTGGGAGGGGGACCGACACCGTTCCGACGATTGCACTTGATGGGTCGTGTCTCTGGCCCTTTGAGTTTTTGACCTGTTACTTGACCAACATCATCGAAGTGAGTTCTCCGTCTTGTCCTCCTAGTTCACGAACTAAGCCAGGTATAGACTCACCCGGATATCTTGCCATAGCCCAACACACTGGGATACTCACTTAATCTGAAAAGCTGTTTCCATGTAGGCCTGGCATGAAGCATAGTAGCACTTCATGCATAGCATGTTCTCGCACAAATAATGAAAAGGCAGTTTCATAATTAAGATGAGAGAGATCATCACCTGAAGATTGAACGATAGTTATCAAGTACGAGAGAGTAAAAACACAAAAAAAGTGCACGCCCACAGTCCCCCGGACTCCAAAATTTTGGGGGGGGAGGGAGAGGGGGCGGGGGAGAGCGGGGGGGATTTAGGGCTTTTAGGGTTTTCAGGGTTTAGGGCTTTTGGGGTCTTGAGGGCTATTAGGGTTTAATCAGTGCTTAGAATCAGGCAATAGCCTTCAGGATTCGAAAAGCCTGGGGAAGGGCCCTGCAGACCGCAAACCCTACAACGTCAGCAGTTTAGCTAATATTCCCCAGAACAAGAGGTTCAGGGTTTAGGGTTTAGGGTTTAGGGTTCAGGGTTTAGGGTTTAGGGTTTAGGGTTTAGGGTTTAGGGTCTGCAAAATGCTGGCTAATTGGGGCCCCCCCCGTAAAGCCCTAAACCCTAAACCGTCGGGGGGGGAAGGGCCAGGACCCCCGCAAAGCCAAAGAAAGCACGGCATGACGCCGGGAAAGCATGTTTAGGATTTAGGGTTTAGGGTTTAGGGTCTAGGGTGCTTACTAGGTCGGCCCTTGGGATATGTGTTGTTTTCCCTTCTTGCCTTCAAGAGGATTGTATTTAGGATTTCTGTCA